TAAATTAACTGCAAGAACACAAGGCCTGGTGCGTTCATTGCTGGAAAGAATGTCGTAACAGCCACAGGCTGAGGACCAGTTGACTTTCCTCCACGCTGTTTCATCTGTGCAGCTTAGGTTCAAAATCTTATTACAGATCTTCAGAAGTGACCGTATTTGGACGAGAGGGTGAAGCTAACCCTAACCCCAGCTGCTAGCTTGGTGCACACAGTACATTTATAGCTACGGTTAACTGTAATAATGCTAATGCTAACTTTGCCAGTAGAAAATTGACTTAAAACCAAAAAACCACTAAATCACTCAAAGCCATAGCTTTAAGCCTTAGTAACATTTAAACAGATGTGTTATATAAAAATTCACCCCCTGTACAGGGGGTAAGCGTCATGTCGCCGAGCTAGTCTGCTGTCTCTTTCAAGTAGCTGTCCATTAGTCACTCACTTTACAGCCGGCAATGGCACTTAAAAATTAAAGCCATGTGCCACATATTCACTGTACCTCAAAATAAAGTTGACACGTTCCTGAGTCACTTGCGGTCCATACAAAATGGACCCACGATCCACTTCTGGACCGCAACCCACCAGTTGGGAACCACTGCTCTAGAGAACTGTCATTTGTGCCAGGATACGTTTGTTTTTGCTACAGAGTTGGGCATTTTGTAGACTATATATTTGGTATGATGTCATAAAGAAAGTGAGTAAGCTTTGAAGCATCAACAGCTGTAATATTACTCTCCTATTAATATACAGTGTATATGAATGTGTTACTTTTGTTTTATTGCTCTTTATTTAATCAGGCTTTACAGATTTTGAGAAAGTAATTTCATGGTTGTTTAACAGGCAGAATTTTTGCAAAAGTTCGGTAATTGTGAAAGTTTAGCATTAAATATGCAATGCAAATTCATCTTTTAATTTGGCTCTACATTTCACACAACTGCCACAACAAATATCATAAAGCAGCTGTATGCTGTACACTGTATGACTATGGGATGTTTAATAGCCAAAAACTCATTTCTACCACAGGTCCTGAGGCTCTGACTTCATGTGAAGAGTTAGTGTGCAATTTTGGAGCTACTTGCATTGAGGTGAACAACCATGCCCACTGCGAGTGCCCTTCACCTGACTGTGATGAGAAAAACAAAACCAAGGTGCGTCTTTCAAACTGTCCACACAGAAATACGTAGTTTGATCTAAAAGTTTGCGACAGAAGAATACTGTTTCAGTGTCCTACAGGGAGTTAACATGTGTTCCCATCCCCCCTCTCTCTATCTCTGTCACTGTGGAGCAGGTGTGTGGCTCAGACGGGGTGACCTATGCCGACCAGTGCCAGCTGAGGACCATAGCCTGTAGACAGGACAAGGACATCACAGTGCAACACTTTGGACAGTGCACAGGTGAGCCCCGTCGTAGCCTCCATGCATCACACGTCGCATGGATGGCCAACTGTTGTCAGGCCCCCATCAAAAGATAATGAGCAGAGCCCTGGGCCCCCAAATTATCCTCCTCCTGCTGTTTCTCCTCTTATCCATCTCTCTGTCGCTGTCTCAGAAAGTAAAGTCACAGCAGTGAGCATGCAAATGTACCTTGAATTTTGTTTCTACAAGAAAGCACCTGCACATGATACTGCAGCAGTGCTATTGCAATCAAACTTATTTAAGCAATTCTATTTTTTTTTATTTCAAAAGGCACATTTGTGATTCATGAATAAGCTCAGAGTCACATGTAAGGAGTCGTCTGTGTTTAGGTTCTCTTCTGAGAATTCTGCTCTTCTTTGTTTATAATACTGAACTTTCTCAAGCTGCATGATTAGGATTGTCTTATGGCAAATATTTAGTTCATTTCGCTGTGTACATAGAGTATAGTAAAGTAAGCCTTGCCCTCCCCCTGCTTGTGAGTTGCCAGGTGGGAGCAAAATCATGTGCGACACTGGAGAAAAGTTAGAATAAGAAAGAGAGATATTGTAGCGTTTTAAAACCCAACAGCTCTGTAGTTTGACTGGAGTCTGAGTTTTGCAATCCCACAAGACATCAATGACACTTCCTTTTTGCTTTCTCGCCTCTCTGTTGGGATTTAGCTTCATCTTCAAACCCTCCTGTTGGGAAATGCGTCAATCGCTTTGCAGCTTTACGCTGTCAGGAACACGACGCCACTTCAGTGTAATAGGGGATGTGGAGAACATGTGTACTGGGCGAAAGGTAAAGCTCTTGCCCCTTGGTCCAGATGCTGATGGACATTGTTTGGATCTATGTAATAGGTGCTGGGACACACGCCAAGGCCACGGTTTTCATGTACACTGAAGTTGTTGCACTGACTGCCAGCTTGCGTCACGACGGGGTTCTAGAGACGCCGCCGGCGAGCTCAGTGGGGAAGAGGAGTGCCAGCTGTGTGGTTCTGGCCATGAGCCACTGCCAGGTGTCTCGCATTTTGGGGGGAAAAATGTTCGTTCACCTCTTTGCTCAGTGGGCACAGATCAGGTGACCAAATACTGTGTCGCCAGTCCTCTTCATCTCCCCTGAGCACTCTTTGTCAGACCCAAACTAGGTCATATCCATAGGACGCAAGGCTGTTGACATGGCCTGTGTTGAATTGCAGTTGCAGGTACACAGATAAAGAATCCAAATATGCTCGGCAAGAGATCGACAAGGCTTTGATAAGTCCCCGAACATCTGGTACTTACAAATTCAGTGCCGTGGGTTACCGGCAAAAGGAGCCAAAATCCAGTCTGGTTTCACATTCCTCTGTTGCCAGGCAATAGAGATGTGGGTTGTGTGTAATCCCTCACCTAGCATTGCTACACACAGAAGGCAAGAAGACGCCTCGCAGCGGACTCTTTCTCTATTGAACCCTCAGGGGAGGAACAGACAGGCGAGTGCTTGGGCCCACCGACAGCCACAGAGGATCTTTTAATTTCTTCTCCCGGATGCGGTCGCACTGCGGGTAGCTGCTCCGCCGCTGCTGTCGGCTCGGGGGTTAGATCTCGAGCTCATTTCACGTGTGGCTGGGTGCGAATTAGCATTTGCTCTGCCTCCACCCCTCACCACGGCACAGCCCTGCCTGCCCTCCCTCCCGCTGTTTACATGCAGTGCTTCCAGACTCACGGCCCTAAGCGCTGTGGCATGCTAATGCTCACCGAGCTGCTCTGTGGCTTGACAAGCGAGCAATGCCAAAGGCCTATATAAATGAGTGGATATTGATCCTTTTTTTACATCATTGATCTGTCGCAACTTTTTTATTATACCACAGAGTGTGACTACCACCACACAGTCGGCCACTAATGGGCAGGCTAAGAAAAATCCTGCAGGAGAAGTTCCTTAAAATATTTCTGCTTGTGACAGAGGACTTGCAGCTAACTGTGATGTTACCCAGCTCTCTCTGAAGTCTCCCAGTTAAAAGGCAGCGCAGCCACAGAGCACAGGGAGGAGTTTTTTCTCGCTTCTTTGCTGTGTCTCAGCAAAAGATGAAGCGATATCTGAGAAACCCAGCAAAAAAATGCAAGAGCGACTGTACCAAGCACCAGAGGGAGGGCATTTGGGCCGATGAGCAAATTCTGGCGCCGGGGGAAAATGGCCACCAAGTTGGCAATGACCTGCCTCTCCCATATGGTGTTATCACCTGTAGGTTTGCGGCAAATTGGCAACGAATGCCAGCATATGGCGTCGGCAGCCCTCTGCCTGCATGTTAGGGTCTGTTGCCTTCACCATCGCTCTCCTCCATGTCTTGCGATTTTCTGTTATTACACAATCCCTCATTCTGTTCCCACTGTTTGCTTTGCCTATTCTCCCACTGCTAGCTTTGTTAACCTGTCCTTTCTTTCTGATTTAAACCATTTTCTTAAGGCTTTTATCCCTATCATTTTCTTCTTGGCTCTGTGGTTCCCTTGTCTTTCCTCTCCGGTCTCCTGTATCCAGATTTCTCCTCCTCCTCACTGAACACGGCTGACACCACAAACAATCTTAATAACCACCTTTCAACAATAACTACACGGCTGAGACAAGCCAAGATGACAATGATTTTTTTTTCCACAATGTCACATAACTGTCCATTGCTCCACTGAGAGGAAAAAAGGCAGAAAAAAGGCAAATGGACTGTTAAACCTGATTAAGAGAAGCATCAGCTGAACGCACTGTGCTGCCAGTCCCTCTCTCCTCTTGCAGACGTGTGTTCTTTTCTTCCCTTATCCCGTGTCACGGAGCTCGCTGCTCGAGATATGCACACACCCAGACACACATTAGGCACTTCCCAGGGAGCGAGCCGCCTGACGCTAAGCTTGGCACCTGACTGACAGGTGTAGCCAAGAGGAAAGGCAATGCATGCCACCATTCTTGGTGATAGCATCACTGCTCTGTGCACTCCACTCCAAATCTCTCTCTATACAAATATCTGCCGAGCTTTAAGCTGACACCCCGTGTGTCTCCCAGGCTTTCTGCCGTCTCAGTAGGTATCACATTTCACACCCCGGTGAATAATTGCCGATCAAATAGGCGATTATAGCAGTGTAATTAAGTCCTACACATAATGTTAGGCGAATCCTAATGAGGCGCAAATCTATGGTATAGGGTTCTTTTTTTTTTTTTTTTTATGTTCATTTCACCCACACATCTATACTCGTGGGACGTAAAGAAGTAAAGCAAGAACGACAGTATTGTCACGCCTGCTTTGCCTCGGCTAAATCTGAAGTACTCACTTACGTAGCATCTCCCTGCCAACTTCACTTCTCCCCCTCAGGAGTTTTTGTCCTATTTATCGTTCTTTTATCGCAGACAGTTTGTCCTTTTGCACCAGAGCTTTTTGCATTGGTAATGATGGTCTCTCTGTGGAGAGCCTCTTCTCTCTCCCTCATTTGGAGTGATTTTTATGTTGCCGCATGTGTGCGTGTGCGTGTTTGTGTGCGTCTGTTGACAGCAGTGTGTTTGTGGTGGCGTTGACGGATGCTCATGCTCTCTGCAAGCAGCAGTGTGCCGTCTTTGAAGCCCGAGTTAAAGCCGGCTTTTTTTGCCCCATTTCTATCAATCATTCATCACCGGAGGCACTGGCTGTTGGTGATTAAAGCTTTGCTACTGGAGGGCAGCATTTGAATATGGATATATAATTCATAGGCATTGGCACAGCATGCACACAACACACGAACATGCATATTGTGCACACAAATACATGCCATATGCGTACACACGCACAAACACACTACACACTACGCATTGACACCAACTGAAGTAGTTTAACCCTGTCTGGGCAACATAACTCATCTGCAGGCAAAACCCACTGCACTGCATATTACTCTAAATGCAGTATGTCATCTGTTGGCATATTCCATATTCACTCTGCATATGGATGCTCTTCCATTACTTAAGGTTTGTCAGATAAAGATTCCTGACATCTCATCCATTGCAAGGGTTTTAATCAGAGGTTGCTTTTACAAATGGGAGTCTGCATGTTTGTGTGTGTTCTTTTTTTAATGTAATTTCTTAATGACAGTGTTGAGCATCAGGGAGAATGGTTAGAAGATTAAAAAAGGGCACCATCATTCAGTAAATGCAGAGGTAAAAAGTTATTGTCAACAGTAGGTTGTAATAACCATTAAGTGGCTTTGTTATGCTTTATTGGCTAATGATGTTTTTATTTCCTCTGGTGTGGTTTCTGAGGTTGTAATAGAGTTAGGTGAAGCAAAATCAAACATTCTCATCTTTGCTCAGTCATTCATCCATTCCTTGCTTCCTCCCCTTCCCTCCACCAGAAACCATCTCTGAGCCGGCAGACCGACCCACCCCCAACCCCCCTGCCACTACCCCCAGCTCAACCGCCGCCGCCACCTTCACCACCCCTGCCCCCTCCCACCCTAACATGGTGTGGGCCATGCCGCCTCCAAGGACAACCGACACAGAGACCTCTGAGCAGCCCTCGGCCTCCACCCACCCTCCCACCCCCATCTACAACCAAGCAGAACCCCGCCACCCCATCCACATCCAGCCTCAGCCGCAGTCCACCGCTGCCACCATCACCTCCTCCTCCAACAGGAGCCCTGCTCCCTCTGCCGCTGCAACCTCCTTTGACGGCTCAGGTAGCGGGGAGCCAAGCGGGGATGACCAGACCGAAGAAGAGGAGGAGCAGGAAGAGGAAGCAGGTAGCGGTGTCCCAACAGAGGCCAGTGGGGCAGAGGAACCTGTCGGTAAATCACTGCTCTTTCACTTCATTACCCATAATGCTTTGAGGGGTATGTGGGAGGGGATTTTTTTCCAAGAAGGGATTGAACAAACTCAGTCTTTAGTTGACATCATAACACTTTCATGCCACCATCTGTTAATTGAAAGATACATTAACAATTGCACAGGCTTCTGTATTTCTATGCAAATCATTTTAAAGGAGACAAATGTCAAAGGCAGGCAGGCAGGGAGGAGGAAGCTTTGTAAACAGATGCTGTAAGTGTCATTTCCACCCGCTTAAGATGTATATCTCAATTTCAGACAGAAAGGAATGTATTTGCATGGTTCACTGTTGCTACATCACCCATGCTCTTTTCTCCCATTCCACTGGCACGCTCGCTCTCAACAGCTAGCAAAACAAACCCAGGCTCTGTAAAATACACTCTCGGCAGGCCAGATGAAACCGCTGGCCCGCATCTGGGGGATCTCTGGAGCCTGACTTGACAGGCTGATGTGACTGGAAGGTTGAGGTGTGTGTGTGTGTGTGTGTGTGTGTGGAGACTGCATACCTTGTCACATGACTAGTGTCAAATCTTTCTCGACATGCCCTCCTGACTGTAACAGCAGGCTGCGGTTCCGGGGCCTCTGCTTGGACAGCAAGGGATGACTGAGACTTTTCAATCAGAGCTTTTTTTTATTTTTCTGTTGTTGTTTTCCATCCATCCATCCATCCACCTCGCCTGACAGCTTGCAGTAACAGGATAGGATTGATGGAACGGCATGGCCCCAATGTGCTCTTCCTCGGCTCTTCCTCCTCCCCTCTCTCCTTTTCCCAGAGTCTTAGATTTATTCTCTTGTCAGAGGCTGACCGAAGTGCTCGGTGGCGCGAGAGGCATGTAGCCTGTCTGCCAGTGAGACCCGGTAGCTTGTGGCTGTGTGTGTGTGTGTGTGTGTGAATGAATGTGTATTCAGGCATGCATGGATGTTTTTTTTTACATTGTGCGTGCTTGCTGAAGTGCTAGCACACATGTCAATCTGTGATCAGAATGGGAGCAGATTAGGAGATTGTACAGTGCAGATTTCAACACAGATATAAAAATCTACACTAATCTGTGTCTCTTTACGATTGTGTGTATGTTTTATATGTATTTTGAAGTCTTATCTTTGTTTTGTGTGTGTGAGTGTGTGTGTGTGTGTGTGTGTGTGTGTGTGCCCCTAAGTCAGGCTATCTTCAAAATCAAACATAAGGGAAATGGTGAAGTGGAGTGTATGTGTTTAAGTTAGTGTGAGGTTAATATTGGGGTTGGAATAGGGTTAGGGTTAGGCAAGTGGTGAGTAAGGTTAGGGTAAGTCCCCAGGAAATGGATGTTAAATCTATGTAATGTCCCCAAAAGTGTCATAAGTAAACTAGCGTGTGTGTGTGTGTGTGTGTGTGTGTGTGTGTGTGTTAGTCTTATCTCCCTCTCCTCATGTCACTGAGTTTGTCCAATTCCGAATGCACATATCAGTGTCTGAGTATATAAATGTGAGCAGGCCAGAGGTGTGCGTTTGTTCGTGTTTTTGTATCCCTGCTCTGTTGAAATCTGCCCTTATCTGTGGCCTTGTGTGTCAGTGTGTGTGTGTGTGGGTGTGTGTGGGTGTGTGTGTATTTATTTGACAGCTCTCATGGCTCCCACTGGAGTCATGCAGTGTCCCCTTGTTGTTGTGCACTGCCCTCCTTCCCCCAACCAGTGCTCTCCTCTTCAGCCCAGCATCTGTAAATCTGCAAACCACACGCCAACAGATGCCCTATAAACCCCTTCCTCCCCCACCTCCCTCCCCCACCTCCCTCCTCCTCCCACCTCCTTTGACCGCAAGTCCTTGAGCAGGACGTCCCTCGCCTCTGACGTCTTTACGACTTGTTTAGCTGCTAGCTGTTTGCCTCCACGATTATTTCTAATCTCTGTGCGGCCATAAACTGCGCCGCTTCGACCAAGACACCCCCTCCACCAACACCATCATTAGAGGGGACGGAGCCTCGCTGCTGTTACACACTCTCATACTTCAGAGAGAGAAAGCCCAGCCACTTTTATGTCTTTTATGTCCCAAGATAGCTAGATATACAGGGACCGTATCGCAAACATGACTGTATGTTTTTTTTTCCTCTTGGGAAGCCTTGAAGGTAACTGTTAGCCAATCAGCAGTGAGCAGTTATCACATCGCCTCATCATTTAAAGTGCTCTGTGTGTGACATGACTGGCAACAGTGCCCATTATGTGCTCTCTGCCTGACAAAATGAGTTCCAGGTGTAAAATCAATTCCCATGAAAATGCCATATAATCACTCCTGACAGATGCCTCTGTTAGTGTCCAACCACAGGTCAGCAGACTGAAAATCGCAACCATCTGCAGAAGAAAGAGCAAGTTTTGAAAAAAAAACCAAAAGATTTTGTAGGTTTTGACTTTGTAAACACTGCCCATCCTCAGAGCCCTGGAAAGTCTCTCCCCTCTGAGATAAGCTGGACTGAATTTATGAATTTTCCAAAGCTTCATGAATTATTATGAGCCCCTGTGTATCATCCCTCAGGTCCCACGTTGGCAAGCACCACTGTACCCACAGCTGAAGACAGGTCATCCTGTGACAACACGGAGTTCGGCTGCTGCCCCGATGGCAAGACACCGTCCAGCACTCCAGAGGGCGCCAACTGCCCCTGTAAGTCAAAAAGCCCCTTTAAAAAACACTGTCCCTAGCCCATAATTACCTGGATGTCACCCTGTTCTTCCCCCCTTGTGTTTTTGTGAACCATTCATATTCTGAGGTACAGTACTTTAGCATCCACTACAGCACTTGCAATTAGCTGGATTACAATTTAAACCCTTTCTGATTTTAACAGATATTTATGATCAATAGCTAGGCAGGAGATGATTAGCCTAGCTTAGCATAAAAGCCGGAAGCAGGGGGAGACAACTAGCTTGTCTCTCTCCAAAGTAAAAAGGAAAAACGTTAAACCTCAACAACACTTTGTGCCTGTCTTTTGACAAGTGTGTGTAAATGGAAGGAGCAATCCGCACTGCATACTATAGAGAATGTGTCTGTTGTACGGCTGAATTTTAGTGTTTTTTATGATTTTAAACCAGGTTTCCATACGTGTGGGCCTGAATCCCAGAGCTTCTACTGTGATTTTTTTGTTGTTGTTAATGTTTCAATGTTAAGTGCTTACATCTCATGCTAATGATCGACCAACTATTTTTTTCACTGTGCTGAATGCTTGTCTCATCTTACGTCTTTCCTCCTATTTGTTTTTTGTTTTGTTTTTTTTTTTTTTTACGCCTGTCTTCAATTTATAACCTTAATTTGGTGATGCATTGAGAATCAACACAATATTTTTTTTTTTTTCACATTTAATGTTTGCTTCGGGAATAGTGATATTGTGCCATCTGCCTTAAACAATCAGATGAACAGGTGCTATATATATATATATTTTTTTTTTTACTGCAGCGATTCTTTCATGAATCACCACCCTCATATGTAAATGATCATGTTAGCAGGTGGCGAGAAATGAAAAAAAAAAATCTGCAAACAATGGAAGTTTTAACTCAGGTATTCGTAGTTATCAATGCGACAACACTTGACAGTCTGACTCTGGTATTAGTTCAGTGGCTGATTCCCAGTGAGTTTCATTTTCTTTAGTTTTTCTCCACAATTTTGAATCAAGTATGATTGATCCAAGAGTCAGCATCATATTTTAAGGCCCATATGCCTTGGTTTATAAATAACCATCAGTGTCTCTATTCCTGCTTTTTCTGTCTTTCACCTTCTTTCTGTTTATTCTAATCCCCTACCTCTCCCTTTATTAACCACACACACACACACACACACACACACACACACACATTCTTCTCTTTGTCAGTCAGTATCTCTCTCTTGAACTATATCTCACTCTTTTCTCTCCCTCAACTCAGTCAATCTCAGTCCAGTCTTGCATCAGTTCATTTCTCTCTGGAGTTGAGCGTGGGGAAAGGCGAGAGACTACCAGAGGCCGACGAGCGCTGTTGTACCAATCAGTGCCTTCTGCCAGACTCGGTTCATAAAGATAAAGGGCTTCTTTCTCCCCTTTGCTTCTCCGTCTCGCTCTCTCTCCCTCCATCCCTCTGCTGAAATCTGCTCTCTATTTGTCCCAGCGGTGTTGGTCTGACTGATTATGAGAGGAGGGATTCTCTTTGGCTGCCATGGGAGCTGCAGGTCATGACTTTAAAGAGCCAAGGCCACACATTAGTGTGCAGAGTTGCATTTCTGGCATGTTGAAGGTCCCAAAGCCTTTCAATAAACCAGCAGAGTTCAATGCCACACAATCCATAACATGATCAGAAGATAGCCTTCTGCCATTTATTTGTTTCACAGAATTTACGGCTAAACAGAAGTGAAACGTGGACCGTCACATCTGTTGTGGTTGGACTGGATGACATTTGGCCCCAAATCCAGATGATAAAAGCATGTGCTCTATAAGCACCTGTGACAGGTTTTAGCTGTAAGACAACAGTTATAACAAATCCGCTAAAGCCTGTAAATATTTATCTCAGCCAACAATGACAGCGCACCGGCGATCAATATCTCATTCAGCTCAAGTGTTACCAATAAAGGCAGGCAGCGCGATAGGCTGATCGATATGCCGGATCTTTTCCCTCCTGAGGAGGGCTTAGCTGAGCCTCCACTCATTAGAAGTGAAATGACACGTCCCTCATGCTAGAATATACATCGGCTTCCATCTCATTGTCCAATTTATTGACGTGCGCCCAGCTATCTCAGAAACGAAAAGGACTCATTTTTGGTTGTTCCAATCTTCCCTTTTTATTGAGACATCAAATGGCGGCTCAAGGTTGAGTTTAGTCCACAGGAGATCTATGAAACCCTTTTTGTATTCTGTTATAAAGCTTCACAGTGGATGTCAGACCTTGGATAAGAATGTATTAAAGGGTCATTTCACTTACCTGCTGTTGTATTCAACCATGGAGATTGTTTTGGGTTTATTTGTTCAGGTATTGAGATACCGTTCTCTGAGGATTCTGTGCCCAAAAAGGCTTTAGTGCATCATTGCTTCTTATGCCCTAATGTGTTGCTCAGAGAAATCCCTGCAGGCTCTCCATATGTTACATTCAAACAAGGCAATACCATTCATGTGACATCAAAGATAATGACCAGCAAATGCTCATGTGAAAGTTAATGGCTCGCTAAGCTCCAGCTACTGTAAAGTCTTCCATAAGCCAGTGAGAGTCAGACAAATCTATTACATTTTACAGTTCACTAGAATCTGATAGTCAAATAGCTCTGTCCCTCCTTTTATCACTCTCTTTCTTTCTCTCGTTACGTCCGTCATGGCAGTGAACTGGAAAATCACCCTCTCTGATGTTTGTCTTCCTTGCAGATTAAAAGTCAGATCTCTCTAGCTGTCCCCTCTGTTTCTTTCTCCCCTCCCCTCATCTTATTGGCCAAACCTCGCCCATTTGCCTCTATTTTATGGCCGCTGTCACATCTGAATCAATGTGTGCTGCCCGCGAAAGCACTGTAAAGATGAGGGGGAGACAGAAGGAACGCAAGTGGGGCGAGTGCGTGTCTCCAGTGTCTGCTGTCCTTTTCATGCAATTTTAACCAGGCTGTGTCAGTCACCGGTCTGGCGGCATTAAAGAGACAATTACGGCTATCTTTCACGATAATCATACAAGTGCTCTTCCCGTTCTCCCTGCCGTTGCTCAGGCAGGGGCAGCCATGATTGATTTGGGCAATTTGTTCTGCTGATTACGAGCGGCGTGGAAGCATGGCATCAGCGCCTCGCATGCTCCTCCGTTCTTCTGCTCACACACGCACACAAAACCCCTCCGCTTTCAGCTTTATTTCGAGCCCTTTCCTAGCTGGCAGAAAAAAGAAAAAAAAAACGTATAGAGAGTTGATAGATGTTGGACAACATAACCCCCAAGGTCGCACAGGGAGGCTCTCTCTTTGCTGAAGACGGCACTTTTGAGAGTGCCTGTGGGCTGTTTCCTCTTTAGTGTGTGTGTTGTTTTTTCCTTTATGTATTTGTGTGTCTGTCTAACTTGTTGTCTCTTTACCCAGCCCTCCATGCCTCGGCCAGCTTTTGGGATGAGTCTCAGTCTGGTAAAACTGGCCCGTTTTTCCACCTTCCCTCCTTCTTTGTTCCTTCCTTCCTTCTCTCATATCTCACAGTCCACCTCTTTCACCACCACAACCTCCACCACCACTACGCCCTCCCCAACTCCAAACACACAAAAACACACGATCCATCACTAACCCAAAAACTGGCACCACCCCCAAAACAAGCACTGTGTGAAGGCAGCGGGAACTGAGTGATAGAGGAAGGTTTTGAGCTATGATGTTACAGTATCACATCTTCTTTCCTCGCCTCCTCTCCTTGCAGCCACCATGAGGTTCAGCGGTTTCCTGCACTTGGACCAGGTTGAGGGCCAGGAGATTTTCTACACCCCCGAGATGGAGGACCCCAAGTCGGAGCTGTTTGGAGAGACGGCCCGTAGCATAGAGAGTGCTGTAAGTGTAGTGTTGGAAATATAGCTCAAGTAACAATAATGATATTTGTTGGCTAAATCTACTTAAATAATTTTTGCCCACATCAATTTGTTTGCATTGAATATCAAAGTGAGACCATGAAACTGTCTAAAGAATTCATCCACAATAAATCACATGATTTTGGATACTGAAGGATGAATTCACTAAAGGATAGCGCGGCTTTCGCTACACCTGCACAAATAAGACCAAATGAAACTGTGTAATCCTCACAGCACTTGCAAATGTTCAAAATCCCTCCTAACTGCGCTGCCAAGCAAATAGCTTCTTGTGCTCCTGCACTATTTGCACATATTTAAATGAGGTAATGTGCATCCATTTGGCGCAACATTGGCCCCTTTCTATGCAAATGAGCTTAGTTGCAAAAGCTGTCCAAGTCACAAAGATCAGCGCCACCAGCCACACACAGTTACAGTGGAATTATTAACATCTTCAGCTAGTTGGTGGTAAGTAAAGCCAGGATCATTCCATCTTCCTGTGCAGGGTGAAGGTGTGCATTTGAAAACACCAACGGCACTAAGATATATTCAATCCCATATACAGTTTCTTTCTGTGATGTCTAAATTCCTTGCCTGAAGTTATGAGTACCTCTGCACCCCGTCGTTCAGGACCTTCAGCTTGCTGTCTGAAAATATCACTTTTTATTTTTCTCTTTACCATTGTTCTGCCTAATGTGTTCTTGGTGCAAAGACAACACATAGACTTTGCTAAATGGATGGATAATTGCAGTCAGACACAAAAAGTGGACAAATTGCACTCGGCTGCAAAACTTTATGGGGGTATTTGCACTGTATAATATTGTTAGCGCAATAATCTTCTGCGAATCAGAAGAGGCAGTTGTGGTTGCAAGTGTTGTGCGATTCATGATGTTATCAGCAGCCACAATCCATTATATGTAAATTTGCCCCTGAGAGATTTTGCTGCTACAGCTTTACTTGGTAACCAGTAGCTTATGGCAGCTAGGCTTTGGTAGCCAACTGGAATAATAAAATCAATTGCTTTTTCAGTCCAATAGATACAGTTTGCTGCAATAAAAATGACTGAGGTGAGATGAAATGACTGAAACTTTAGATTATTAGATAAAACAGATGTTGAGGGACATAATTAGCAGTTGAAGAAAGGTGATAAATCGCAGTGTATCCCGATATAGCCACTGTACGAAATTTTGCCACGAAATTTTGTGACACAAACACAAAGGTGATCGTCACCCTGGAGGCAATTTTACTCTACTCTGCTTGCGCTATTGTTACACTTCATTTTAGCATGTCACAGTTTAACATTTAATTTCAAATAAAACACAGCTGCCTCACCAGGACACATGTTTACTGTCTCCTGCTTGTGTTCCAAGGTCCTATGATGATAATGTCTTTAAAGCTGCACTAATCAATATTTTGTACATTAGCTATGGATCAAATGACTGTGTGAAGTGTAAGGTATCACTTGTGATGAACCCACAGAGAACACAGATCTTCACCTCTGCTGTTTTTAATCCTGCTTTAAAGCAACTGAATCAAGTGATGATCTCCACATCCTGTTCAGCAAACATAACATAGTCTAGCTTTAAATATTCCCATCAATCTTCATGTCAAGTGTGAAAAACAACATTCAAAGCATCGTAAGACACTAAAACTCTTCACCAAGAGCCAGACTAATCAAATTTCTTGACCTCCTTCAGGCAGCCAGGTTTCATCGCAGGTTTTACAGACTTGACAACCCTGAAGCTGCTGAGTAATATTGTGTCACACTGGGCTGGAATGATTTCTCTGGTCGGTGATCTGATAGAAAAATAACAATGATAAAAAAACATATTCACTGCCTGCAGTCAGAGAGGAACATACATCATATCAGAGAAAGACAACATAACCTTGCTGATATTTGATTTTTAATAAAAGGGCAATATTGGCAAACTGTTACATCAGGTTAGAAAGGAATATAGCGCCCGAATACCAGTCATTTGACCCACGCAGGTGGATCAGAATGAAACAAGACTCTTCACAAGATAGCAGTCCATCATGGTGGTTCAATAATTATTTTTCACAAACATTAACATCAAAACTTCCTCACATATACTGCCAGCTAATTAAGAATTTTCACAGAACTTGGGCTGGGGCTTTTAATTTCAAGCACAGCATTAAAGCTTTAGGGCTGAGTTAGCATAGACACAACACAAGGCTTCCAGAAACGCTTCAAGTTTAATAAGAGAACTATAAAGAAAAAAACTAACAGCTCTCTGCAGACTTGTGCAAAGACTAATTTGTCAATCGCTTGCCAAACACTTCACAGCAACAGAAAGCAGCATCTCATGTGAGATTAATTAGGATTTTTTCAAATATTTTGAAAAAATCAAGTCTTATTTTGGATATGAGTCTCATAAGTTTCTGGACAAGATGCTAGTTGCTGTTCACCAGCCAAGGACGAGGCAGGCATAGAGCCTGTACAGTAATCACGGTTTGGCCCTGCTCGAATTTCTCCGCTGTCCGTTTTCTCTGTCGAGCTCAGACCTTTGAACAAATGTCTCTGTTGTCAAGCCAGGGCCTCGCTCCTCTGATGAAACGGGGACGTGTGTGTGTGTCTGTGTACACAGTACACATCTACCAGCTGTTGAACTGGTGTCACTAGCCCCCACTGGGACCTAATCTACTACCTCACAGCGATTTGTGCGTGTGTGCGCTTGTTACACTCCAAGCCCATGTGTCTCTGAAGCCTGGTGTGCCACTTGATAGCAACCACCCCCTCTTCATCTCCAAACACTCACACCGAGCACACACACACACACACACACACACACACACACACACGGGCAAACACACACAAAGTGCTCACACAGATATATAGCATACACACAAGGAATCAAGCCACAACAACCTGTTACAATTAGTAAATAAATTAGGATATATATAAGAGAAAGAAGAGGAGAGGAAAGAGCCATCGGGAGGTTTCTAGGTCAGACTGTCCACAGGAGAGTTTGTCCATCATTTCCATCCCTAAGCCAGCTTTAGAGGATTTTATTTTTGACTCGTCTACTTTGCCGTCACACCTCAACCCACAAATTAGAGACGTTCAGCACATGAAGGGAATAATCTGAGTCCTCAAGCTGACTTGAGTGTGCTGAATCGTCAGCCTCGATGATCAAATCAGCAGCTGTTTGCATCCGAGCTCACCTTGCCAGGATCTGAAAACGTCATAATATACAGTATCTTAGTTTTTTGGGGTGGGTTATATTGGCAGACATGGTATATAATATTCATACCTATGTTTTTATCAGTGTATAATTATATAAAACTAAGAGTCATTATGTTTTGTTTCCTTAGAATGAGCCATTTATATCTACAGAAAAGTGTGGAATTTGATTTGAGTGATTTCCAAGACAGGATAAGTATTGAAAAACATATTTTTGTTTCCAGACTGTCGCCCCAATTGTGCTTTCTAAAAGATAAAATTCAGAATCTCAAAAATAAATTGATCATATGAGCAAAGTTTTTGATGTTGTTGGGAGCAGGCAGCCGGCACAGCTGAAATGTTTCCCTCTGTGTGAGAGAGTGTGGGCCAGAGCACGCTTGATATTGTCAAAAGCATAGCAAGAAGTATGACGTTTGACTTAACACACACTCCTACGCAGAGCTGCCTCTACGCAGAGCTGTACGTCACAGCATGCAAAACAGCTCTGCCCCAAGTGCCTTGTAACTGAATCAAATCCAGACATCTCTGACCAAATTAGCTTGAAAAAGACAATGCAGCAATATCTTTGAATTGCATATATACATAGCATCACAGATAACCAAATGTTAAGCTTATCTGAACATTTGTGAGTTATGCAGTGATGTATTTATCAGAAAAGTAAGCAGACTGCCTTTTCTGCGATATGATCATTCCATTAACACAGTAAATAAAGATGAAGGAAAATTAAATTGTTTAACTTTTTTCAACTCATTGTAAGTGCATATTTATAAAAGAGACTAAAAAAATAGTACAAGTATAGGTATCACAGGTTAGTTTGCTTCCTTTTTGGCAGAGAAACTTGTCTGGGTTTGGTATGAATTGATTTATATGAGCTACAGTGCGTAGCTACATTTTTCTGGCACTTCTTTGGCAACATAACAGCATGCATAGTCAGAATGCAACATACATGTCAACAGTTGGATTGTAAAAGTATTTATTTAAGCAATAAACATCAAGCTATTTGTACTTAGATTTCAAATATGGTCCAACCAATCTATTGAGAGATTTTAAAATTTGAGTCCGGAAAAGTATGACATGTTGAAATGGAAAATGTGAAGGAACCCTGTACATACGCAGCAGGGCCTCCTCCACTAAGTTTGCCATGTTGCTCCTGAAGTAGCCCAGAATGACAAAGTAAAGAATGGCTCTAGATAGGGCCATTTGCATTTTAGCATCAGTCACTGTAGTTCCTACAGTACATTGTTGGCACACAAGAGAACCTCACCACTACATACCATTAAATCCTACACACTGTACCTTTAAAAGGAAAAGTAGGCAAAGCAATGTTGATGCGGCAGCTGACAAAAACGAATGAACCAAGAAATAAGTGACTTTATTAATCTGGACTGAAACAGTATGAAATGATTAGTAGTAGAGTAAGCAAAATGACTATTTGTTTCCATCACAAAACTCAAGAGTTCCAGCTGAATATGTCTCTTTCATAGAAGTCTCACATAATGGGGAAATCTTATTTAAAAACATCATTTTATGGACAATGATTGGCTTTGGTAAAAATCGGTGAGATGCAGATGGGGCGTGTGGAGGAGTGCTCAGTGGAAACAGTGGAAGTGGCCACTCAGAGGATCCTCCAGTAAAGTGGGTTAGAAGGCCCAGTGGCTCCTGCAATTGTAACCAGCAGCTGAAATGAGGACGAGGCGGGAGGATTTTCCTCTTGTCTCTTGTTGCTTTCGAGTGTGTGAATAGGAATAATCCACCAGCATGCAGTCAAGAACAGAATAATGAGGGAAACACTGACTGTATGTGTAACTTTTTTTTAAGTTCTAGCATGAAAATGCTCCAATTTTTAGATAAAATATTGGCCCAGATTTTTTGGCTTCAGGCAGCTTCAGTCTTACTGCTGTAATATCCCCGTTGGCTTTAAAAACATTTTAGTCAAACCTCCTTATGGAGTTCTTCTGGCTGTTACAAGTTGCACACAGGCGGGGGGGGGGGGCATCAGAAGCAAAACCAATCAGGAGCACATGTCAGGGTTGCACGACATTTATCTTAGCTCCTCCCGAAAACTTGTCTCTATAATTAATGCCACGGCTGCAGCTAAATGTCAATTTGTGCACCCACACCCGATAGGTTTCTTCTCTGCACCCCAATTTGAGAGGCAGTCTTTCTTCCTTGGAGATAGAGTACAGTCTTCTGGAATTGGACTCGCTGCTATGATAGCGTGGAGCTCATTACCAGCCTCATTTATCATCTCTTCCCTCTGTCCATTCCCTCCTCCCTCCTTCTCTCTGTCTCTTTCTACCTCAGCTCAATGAGTTGTTCAGGAAGTCAGAGGTGCGCAAAGACTTTATGAGCGTCCGTGTCCGGAGCCTGGCACCCAGCAACTCCATCCTGGCCTTTGTGGAGGCCCACTTCAAACCAGGTGAGAGATCTTAATATAGAGTAAAAGATTAAAAAAAAAAAAAAAACTGAAAGATGGTGAAGTATAGTAGCCTATAGAGAGGGATATGTGCTGGGTTTGTTCTGTCTTTCAGCAACCAAGACAAAAATTACTTGCTTGAAATAAATGAAATTGGGATAAAAGTTAGGCCACCGGCCAATGAAGACCTAATTATTTTTTTTATGCAGCATAAGTGACCATATCACCATTTTTAAAGCACTTAACATTTTCACTGGTAACTCTTGGACTGTAAGGCGGAGAGGCTAAATTTGTTCTCTCCTGGATTCCTTGGTCTGGCACTCTATTCGGGATTTTTTATTACTCCTCCTACACAATTCATTCAGTGCTCACTAAATTAAGTGCATAACATTTTTGAATAATATTTTGACTATTCCATTCCTGAAAGAACAGCAATAACAACCAAATTGTACCTGCAGATAACCAGTCTGAGTGACCCTGCAAACACAAATGGCATGTTGCCTCTACAGCAGGTGGCACTACAGCCACAAAACTCATTTAAATGGCCATGAGTCATCTATTTGAAATTTTGTTCAATTCTGCCTCATAAAAAGCATAAAGTTGATTTAAGTTTTTCTAAAAAAAAAAAAAAAAAAAGTCATTCTTATTTTATTGTTATGTGTGTTCTCTTTCAGATCGGGATGCAGGTTAAGAACTTTTCTATTATTACAATAACAAATAAAGAGGATTGTGCATCCTTGGCAGAGATATGCACTCTCTCAGTGCTTTCCACTGAGTTTTTATTTGGCTCATAACATTGCAAGGCACTGAATGTTTTTCCCCATTTGTATCTTTTTTTTTAAATTTTCTTTTCAGTGCCAACTAAATCCCATGCTTGCAACAATTGGCCCTAGTGTTAAAAAAACCACAACCTAGATGTTCACAGTGGTATTTGTTATTCGTCAGAGCCAGGAAAAGTTCCCTAAATGACCGTGCTGGTGAGATGTTGGCTTGTGCTCTGAATCAGCGCCTCTATGTGTCACCTGTACAGTTAAAGGTACAATTTGTGATTTTAATAAATATAGAAGTGTGCCCAAAAAACTCGTAACAGGAATGAAACCTGCTCTCTAATTGATTGACAGGATTCTTAACACAGTGACCAACACTCAACAACAACTGTTACTAATGTTTTTTCAATCTGTTGAGGGTTTGTTTACATCATGAGTGCTGTAATCCCAGGCTTATTAACTCCTACACTCACAAACTGCTGACTTTCTTAATTATTAAGACAGTCTTGTATGTATATGAGTTAAGTTCAAAAGGATATGGTCGATTCCAGTGCTGATCGGAATGCTTCGCAGCATCGAAGCTTTGATTGTTGCCATGGTAATAGGTGACCAAATCAGTATTTGAGTGGTTCATTTTTGGTTCATTTTGATTATATTAGTTCATCTTAATCTAGGGTACTTGAACTTAGCGATAGCTTTATGACTCTGACTTACTCAACTGACAGTTTGAGTACATGTGATATGCTAGCAAGATGCTGAAAATGTCAGGCGTCTGGAATAGTTTCAAAGTGTGCCACATATACTAAAGGAAAGTGGCATATATCACAAATCTACAATGAGTTTGGGAAATTACCTGGAAGTTGTAAGTAACAAACTGTTAGCTGCTTAGCTGTCTTGCAAAGTGTTCTTTTTTTCTAGCTGTTATGGCCAAGGTCACTGCAGCCTGCATGTCAATAAAGTGGCTGATTGTCACGTTATTTAGGTGCATCGACTGAAAACCATTTCAGAAAAAGTCACATTTATGGAATTAACTTTGATTACCCCTCACCCCACCCGCACCCCCTCCTCCTTGAACCTTTTATTAATCATGGATATTTCCTTCTGAAGTTTTGACGACCAAAACCTGATTTTCAGGTTGACGCCACAACTGGGCCTTTAAGGTCTTTTTGTACCATACAAAATCCCACCCCCCACCCTTTATTTCCCCCCCCCCTTTTTTATGACGGTCGTTCAGTGTCCTTCATACCCTTTGTACGGGGCAAAGTTAAGCGTTGCTCCTCCATGGCCTGTAAAGCGAACATCTGTAGCAAACGTTATGAGAGCGATTCATCTGGAAAAAAGCCGGACAAGCGGCGGGTGGAGGACAAGTGGTCCCTGGAGATCCTCCACCTGTCATACACAGGGCAGTCTGATATATTCATTGTTCCGCTAAAGAAGCAAGAGTCTTGTATTTGCTTTGGAGCGCTCCTTAGAGGCCTTGTCTTAAGTGGTTGTACCTCTTGTTTATCGTAGATACAAGATACACAGTGGAGGACATCGAAGGAGCCCTGCTTAAACAGCTGAAGGCCTCTAAAGAGACCAGCATTGCCGTGAAGAAGCCAGAGGACGAGAATATTCGCTTCACCAATTATGGTAATACAGTATGGACTTAACAGGAGTGTGTGGGGATTAATAAAATGAAAAGGGGTTTTAAGTTATTCATGAGGTGATTTATCAAAGGTTTTACGGGTCTTGAGCAGGAAATCTCAGGACCGCAGGCTCAACATACTTTAACGTCTCTTTTTCTTTGTCTAATTTCCATTGTTCTCTCCGGCACCGTTGACAGGCCTCTCCTCCATTCCCGTCTTCACCACTACTACCACCACCACGGCATCGGTCACCACAGCTGCTCCCACCACCACCAGGCCTCTGCAAACCACCCCATACGTCACCCGCAGGCCTTACAATGGCAGACGTACGACCACGACCTCCGCGCCGGTCACCACACCACCACCACCCACCACCACCACCACCACCAGGCCTCCACCAACCACCCCGTATGTCACCCGCAGACCTTACAATGGCAGACGTACCACCACCACCACCACCACTACCACGACCGCGCTGCCTCCAGCTACCACCATAGCCCATGTTCGGGGCAAGCTTCACCACAAGGCCCAGAAGCCCTGCAGCTCCCACCCCTGCCTCCATGGGGGCACCTGCGAGGATGACGGCAACGACTTCAGCTGCAAGTGCCCCGCTGGGCGAGGAGGCTCCGTGTGTGAGAAGGGTGAGCCAGCTTTCTCTTTCTCCTCATACATTAGGAAGTATTTCCCTCTCTTATATTTGTTATCACTCTCAAAAGTTTCAAAGTCTGAGCTTATTTCAAACTCATCTAAGAAAATGAGCTGGAACAGACTTTCCTTATAATTTTGTACTATTGCAATTAGCAATTACAAAGAAACCACCAAAGGCTGACGTTGACAGTGATTTTGCGGGAACTAAGAGGGTTTGAGGCACTCCACTTTCCATTGTGCCAATCATCCCTTTTAGCTGTTCCATAATCACTGCTAACCACATCCTCAAGTGCTTTAATATATTTATAAAGTAGCAGAAACACACCATTATGATAAAAAAAAAATCAAATATTAAAGGTTTATTTAATGAAACTCTTATTGTAAAGAAAAAAGGACATATATTCCTTCTGTTAAGCAGTAGGTTTGTCTAATTGTAGCTTCACAAAGTGGCTGCAAAGTGACACCGTGAGTAGCAGTGTGAATAATGACTTTCAGTTAGTGCTGGAATATGTAAATGCGCTGTTATGTGGTCACAGATGTGGATTTATTGGGTCATATTTAGCCCAATAAGACAACAGCAATCAGAGCTCTAGACAAGGCATCAGTTTTACACTAGATTTTTCAAAAACTTGAGAACAAAGAGTTTAGGTGTGATCAAGTCAGACACAACATCTGTCCTCCTGCGCTTCAACCTCATCTCAAGTGATTCAGACAGGTTCAGCACTTCCGAAGTAAGCAACCGCTGAGCCGTTCACCAATTGCAACACAGAATCCAATCAGCACCACGGAGAAAATCATAAATCAAGCAGAAGTTCTTGAGAAGCACAACTCTTTTGTTTCCTCCCTCTTACCCTACTTTGGGATTTTTGGGGGATGAGGAGCAACCTCACGCAGCTGCATCTTAAGATAATTGACACTAATTGCTTTGATGGGGATTAGCTGGTGAGAATCAGTGTGTGTCTTTGAGTTAGAGTGGCTAAATGAAGTCACACATACACGCACGCTCACACACAAACTGCGTGCATCCAGCCTCCCCCAAATCAATCAAGTCATTAGAAAAGAGGGAGCTCATCAGCTGCCATTCTCCTCAGAGAGACGGACAGAAAGACAGATGGACGGAGAGAAAAGGAGCCTGGGGAGAAAATGGATGATAATAATCATAATTGTCGAGTGGCGGAAAAACAAAGGTTTTCCTGTGTGTGTGTGTGTGTGTGTGTGTGTGTGTGTGTGTGCGCGCGCAAGTACTTGAATGTGTGTGAGTTGAGGGTGGCTGTAAAGCTCAGCTCCTCCTCTTTCTCGACCTTCTCCTTTTGATAAACTCGTCAAGCATTTTGGAAAAACGCCATTCCTCAAATAATCTGACAGAAAGGCTCATTTCTCTGTCATCAACAGCCAGTGACACGCCACCTCCGCGCACACTTAATTATGCACATTAAATGCCTATTACGCCACGATAAAGCAAATCATTTAGTAATGACAAGATTGGCTTGTTGTCTTCGTTCCCCCACAGTGATCAGGTACTTCATCCCATCATTTGGGGGCCAATCATATTTGGCTTTCCAAACCATGAGCGCCTATCACACGGTCCGCATCGCCATGGAGTTCAGAGCATCCGAGATGACGGGCATCCTGCTCTACAATGGCCAGGAAGGCAAGAAGGACTTCATCTCTCTGGCTCTGGTTAACGGCAAGGTGGAGCTCAGGTGAGTACTGTGAGACTCAGGAGGGGAAGCGGGTGATTCTCTTGCTTTTATTTGATTAAATCTGATGAAACTTAATTGATGCCCTGTGGGAAAACGGGGTCATTGCAGCAGCAGCTGAGAGAGGATGTAGATAAGAATAAAACAAATACAGAGCACTGAAGATAATGAGGCAAATAATTACAGCAAGTAAACATGTTGAAAACACCACTGCCAGAAAATGTAAAAAGAAAAAAAAAAAAAAAGACACAAAAGCTTCTTGACAGATTTGAAGGCTAAGGCTACAAAGGCACGCTAACAGAAATGTGTTCAAACTAGTAGATAAGCCAATCACGTGATCACATTTACAGATGGTGGGAACATATGTACAGAAATATGTGCAAGATGTCCAAATTTGCTATTTCATATGTAGTTTGTAAACACATACATTAGGAATGAAGGTTTATATACTGTTTGTATTCACAGATGGGATCAGTGACCTCTGGAAATGCATCCAGTAATGGCTCATAGATGCATGTGACTCAACATTTTACAGTAGAATAGAGGCCACATATAGTACTTATGAAACAGTGTTGGGGAGTAATTAACTACATGTGCTGTAATTACTTGTTTAACTACAGTTTGCAGTTGTCAGGTGGCAGATTAACCACATTCAAATCAAATAGCGTTTTCAGTAGTTAACTGCTTTGGGTCATGTAGTTAATTTACTTAACTACAAACTACATATTATTATTTTGTATGTTATACTGGATCCAATTCAATCTGCATGCCCTCAGTTTAACATTTGTAGCCTCAGAGCGAGGCTCACTCCTTGTGACTATTAAAGTGACTGTGATTTGTTGAAATGCTGCAGTGCCCCTTTAGGTTCTAGGTGTAACAGGGTTTAAACAAAATGTTTTTTTAAGGCCAGCAGTAGACTGACAGTAACCAAAAAGGTTCATCCAATTTGTTTAAATTGGACCATTTTCCTGCCAGAAACCTGTAAAAACACTCAGTATTCATTGTTGCCCCACAGCAGCATTGTATGCATAAAAAATAATTTGGGGGTGAGGCAGCATTCTCAGAGGAGACCTGAATGGACTAATCAGAGATTCTGCGGCGTATCTGCTTTGGACCTATTATTTCAAACACTATCCGCTTTCCTTATCGTTTGGGTCTTATGTTTCACCCTGACCCCTCCAAGCCCTTTTCAGTTCCTCCCAACCTGGCCAGGTTAGATTTCTCTATTCAGAGAGAAATCAATAGCAAAGTAAAGGAGATCATTAGTCACTTGTGCTTTCAAATGGAGCTCTGCCTCAATTCCAGAAATACAGCTGTGAGATTACCACCCACAGCTCTGCAAATCCAAGACGTGGGGAGAAGAACTAATTATTTGTGGCAGATAATTGCTCTCAGGTTGTGCTAATACTACCGTATGTGTGGGTGCACATTCACGATAGTTCTTTTCTGTGATGATATGGCCTTTTCTGCAACAAAACCTCATTAGATAAAAGGTTTAATTAAAAAAGAGGGTGTGAAGACATTTTTAAGTGAGTAACTGCATCATTCCAGTCACATAGTTTGGAATCCCAAATGGGAAATCCTGTACCTTTTTTCTTTCATCCCTCTCCGTCTTGTTAAACAATATGAGCAGATATCTGCTCGTCATTAGGCGCTGCACGATAACGAGCAAACATATTGGGTGGAAAATAAGCCCCTGGAGTGCTGTAAACTAATATGAAGTGTGCCGCAGATGTAATGTGATTGTTGGACAAAGTTGACTGGATGAATATGCTTTGTTTGTCTTCTTCTCAGGTTCAACACAGGTTCAGGCACAGGCACAGTGATCAGCAAAGTTAAAGTCAATCAGGGCCGCTGGCATCAGTTGGTGGTGACACGCAACCGCCGCAATGCAATGCTCAGCGTGGACAACGAGCCACACATCGAGGGCGAGAGTCCACGCGGCACAGACGGCCTTAACCTTGACACCCACCTGTTCATCGGGGGAGTGCCTGAGGAAATTAAGCTGGAGTAAGACCATCTGTGTACAGTTACACGTTGTGATAACTTTCAAGTCAGGAAGAAAATCATACAGAAAGTCAGTTAACTGTGGCTTCTCTTAAATTAAACGAAATCTAGACAAAATTAATGTCTTGGATTTACAATAATTGATGGTTAAAATATTTCTTAAGGTGAATTTTAGATCATCCAGTATAGAACTCTGTTTGAGAGTTATAAAAGTATACTGTAAGTAGATCATAGGTAGCTCTATGATTAACCAGTTAATGAGATTTTGGAATCTTGGAAATTTCTTCGACCTCACCTCATCCCTTTTTGTAATACATTAAAGCTGCAGTTGGTAACTTTTATGAAAATAACTTAGTGTCATATTTACTGAAACTGTCACTACATCCACACAGTCACTACAATCACTGCTTGTAAACTGCATTGCCTATTTCTCACCTTAGATGTTTTCAGACACATATTTTTGCACACTGTTTAGCTATAAAATGAGAATGTTCACTCAGGGCGGTGGGCGGTGCTCTGTTTTTGGCTCAAGTGTTTTAAACATGGTGGCATGGTGACAAACGTTCTCATTTCACAGCTAAACAGCACACTAAAATATGTTTTTGAAAACATCTGACACAAGAAATAGGCAATGCAGTAACAGAGTTTTGATTCATATTTGATCAGGGCTGCCTATTTGACAGTTTGACTGCAGTTTACAAGCAGTGATTGACAGACGTGTTAGAGACTCCTCGACTCTGATTGGTTGTTTTTGTTCACGTGCAGTAAGGCCGGTAAAAGCACTATTAAGAGGCAGAGAAATATGATTTATTAAAAGTGACCAACTACAACTTTAATGTACATTGTTGCATTAGATGTATCCTCAGTATTATACAGCATACACCATATAGTATATTCTTTACACTAAGCTCATTGTTATTGAGTAGTGGTCAGGAGTGTAATAATTAAAACTAGAGGCTGTGTCAAACTTTGTGTTAAAAAAGACATTCTTTATCTTTCCGCTTTTTTTCTCCTAAGTGTGAGGGAAAGGACAGAGGTGGCCACAGGTCTGGTGGGCTGCATCCGCTTGCTGGATGTCAACAACCGGCTGCTCAACCTGCAGGAGAACGGGGGTGACAGTCTGTATGGCAGCGGTGTGGGTGAATGTGGCAACAACCCCTGCCAGCCCAACCCTTGCAAGAATGGTGCTGCATGCCAGGTCAAGGAGGCAGAGATGTTCCACTGCAAGTGCAGCAAAGGTTTCTGGGGTAAGATGCCAATTAAAGGATAGCTTCCTTACAGAGGTGTGGACTTGAATCACATGATTAGACTCAAGTCAGACACAAGTCACAAATTTAATAACTTTAGACCCGACTTGACAACATTTTAAAAAAGACTTGCAATTCGATTTTGACTTTGAAAGATTAAAAAGTCTGTTTTTTAAAATGTGCGCCATTCATTTCCTGAATCAGCTAACATTAACACAGTCTGACTCTCAATTTCCTGGATGCACTTTGTTTGAACCAATCCAACAGCATCCAGTCAAGTTGCAGAGAAATATAAAGAACTAATGGTACATTACTAAGTGTTGGTTGGAAAAAATACAAAAGATAAGGTTGTTCACATACAAAAATTCTGCAGTGGTAAAAGTAATTTAAAAAAAAAAAAATGGATTGTGGTATGCAAAATGTGGAGATCAAAGACACAACAACTTCCAACAAATTTAACAAATAAATAAAACTTATGTGTATATGTATTATGCTATTACTTGGATGTCATAATTTATGAAATTATGACTTGTTTATGACTCATAACTTGAAGTTTCAGACTTGGGACTTACCAGTCTTGGGTGAGAGCTTGATTTGGGACTTATGTGCAGAGACTTGAGACTTACTTGTGACATGTAAAACAATGACTTGGTCCCACCACTGGTTCCTAATGATAATACTGGGATTTCTAGACAGTCAAGAGGTTAATTCCAATGCGGGGACATAAGTAAAAAAGATGTCAGACTTTTCTAACACCTTGTTAAAATTATGTTTATATGTCTACTTTGCCTTCTCTTCTGGGATTCACTATGGTCATGACTTACTCACAAATCCTAAGTAAGCTTGACAGCCTAATTTGACAGTGTAACTCATGCCCCCAGCAGGAGAGCTGGAAGTCATTTTGTAAACACGAAAACCGTCAAATCTGTGTGTCCGACACAGAAATGAGAGATTAAATGTTGACGCACTACAGAAAACATGAAAACTTCCACCAAACGCTCAGTGATTGGCCTTTGGCCTATCTCTGCTTCCACATCCCTTCCTCCTTTTTTATCCCTCCGCCAGATGCCAACTAACAAGCAACTCAGAGAGAATATAGCTACGAGCAGACACCATCAGTGCTTAGCCAAGCGTGCCCCTTGCTGGTTGAACCACAGCCTACTGCTGAAAAGTTTCACACCAGAACGACATTAATTGTCAGAGTTAACTTTCATGCTTGAATAGTAAAGGATTTTGTACTCACACGGGGGCAGCCTCGTGGTTAGGGAAACAACCTCTCAGCCAAGTTTTAAGAGCCTTGTTCCTTGAATTTAAAATGTGGATCAATAAAGTATCACATTACATTATTATTGCCTTTCATATAAGAGGTGCTTTTATGTTTTGTTGTTATTGAGAAGCCTTAGAAGAAGTAAAGATAACCCTGCACTCTGAAGAAGCATTGCTGTGATCAAAGTTGTCTTGGCAACACGGCGTAAAGTGAATGGTGATAATGAGAATTGGACCATTGCCTGCGGACTTGCATTCAAGTTAATTTTGACATCATGTCAGTTTTGACAGTGGCCAAGATTGCGCATCTCGAGGGGAGGGACAGATCACAGAGAGCCCGAAGAGAGGATGAATGGGTGGAGAGGGTTGTAGTTAGAGGGAGGACATGTCAGGACAGGCAGATAAATGAGAGAGGTGAGAGCATCAGAGTAAAAAGTAGAGAAGGAAGAGATGTGGAAAAAAGAGCTGTGGTAGGGAAGAAGTGAGAGTGGAGGATAAAAGCTAGCTTCCAAAAGAGTGACTGAGGAAAAAACGGGGGAGCCTTGTGAGCTCAGCGGGGATGGGCTTCATTAAAGCGCTCTCCTCACCACAGGCTCTGACTGCTAAAGTAATGACGGGTGAATTCAGATGGGCTGTGGCAGAGGGCAAAACCATCATCCACCAGACGCTCCCAAGCCTTTCCCACAGTCGGCGTTGGCCCAGAAACATGGCCGCATGGTGGGGAGGCTCTCCACTGTTTAATCTGGATGTGTAATATTTCCAAATCCTATTAGAAAATGACCTCTATTACAGAGGAAATCCACATACCCCGCTTTTTTGTCTCCTCCTCCTCTCAAATGGAATAAAAGAGAAAATTGTTGAAAATGGTGGTGGGTTTCTCATGGGGGATTTGTATGTGTGTGTGTCTACTGTAGGTCCAACTTGTGCTGATGTCCATGACCCATGCGAGCCCAACAGGTGCCATCCATCCTCCCAGTGCCAGGCGATGCCCGAGGGAGGCTACAAATGCGAGTGTCCCATGGGACGTGAAGGGAGGCACTGCGAGAAAGGTAATTGGACTTAACACTGTGTATTCTGGTGTACCTCCTAAGCTTCACGCCTCAGTTGTTGTCTCTAGTGCTTATCAAGGAGTACCAGTGTTTTGGTCCGGAGTCAGCAGAGTAGCATCATCCTCAATTTTTGCCTCTTTTCCTCGTTTTTGCTTTCCGCTCTGTGACATTTCCAGCCAACCTGAATCAAACAGGGAGATCAAATGCAGAAGGAAGCGGGGGGGGGGTCGAGCCTTCAGGCTGGGAGGGGATGGGAGGGACGGTGGGTTGCAGAACTGAGGAAGATGATTGGCCCCGTCGGGCCATTCACCACATTGACTTGACTATACGCTTGTTAGTGTAAGCGACAGCAAAGCCGCAGCCTTCCTCCACTCCCTCTCTCCCTGCTTATCCGCCCACAGGTGTTGTGTTCAAACGTGTTTGCTACTTAGCTCCACATGGCAGAACCGGGACGCGGTTGGGGAAAAGACCAGAGCACAGCTCAGCTGCTTTTGAAGTTCATCATTAGCATTTTTGGCGATGTCGCATTCTGAAGTCTACCCATGTTTTTTCCCTCCCTGGCTTTGTAGATACTGTCATGAATGTTTGCTGAAGTTGACTTCTGTAACTGGGAATAAAGAGAATACACTAACGTGCACATTTATTTATTTATTCAGGTTATAGCTCAGGGACATTCCTAACAAAAGAGAAACACGCACCCTTGTATCCCAGGGAATTTAGAAAAACCAGATGGGAATAGCCTCCTTCCAAGCCCCGAGTCCCAGTTAGCAGGTGATTAAAATAAATTGAGGTGAACCAAAATCAATGCTGTGTGAGCGAGAGCGTCTCCCATTCCAAAAGGCTATTTTTTCGCTGGAATCAATGAGATGACTAATCGCATCAGTCCTCTCTGCCCGCAGTGATTAATGGGAGCGTCAGTCAGCCCGAGTGTCAGCCCCAGACAGGAGCTCACAGATAAGGCGGCAGTCAGGCAGACGTACCCTCTGAGGGCTGCACTGAGAACAGTTAAAAAGACAGGTAGCTTAGAGCCCACTCATCAGATCCCGAAGGTGAATTAGTCGTAATATTAAGAGTGTGTAACCCAGTGTGTGCGCACGTTCATATGAGCTATGGTTTCCATTTCAATTCTGCCAGGGTTCGTCAGTGCTGCTTGCTGCTATAATATTCACCATCAAGGACTTTTCTCAAGGGTGTTCCAATAGTATTGAATGGCCTACTTTCCTTGGTGCTTTTACGCTGTGATAGTGTAAATCATTACAATTTAGCGATGAAAGAAGGATCACTTGGACTCAGCCGGTCCTTGAGAAAACTAACTGCAGGGGGGGGAACTTGAATTTCAACAATGTTTAACATTGAGCTCCTTAGCTACATTAAGCCAGAGACCACTTAATGTGCATATGTGTGCGTGAGTGTGTAAGAGAGCGAAAGAGAGTGTGTGTGTCTCTGATTCACACTGCATGCAATTCTGTTGAAGAGCTGATTGATTGGGGGGCGGGATCATGAGCTCTGATTGCAGCTACAAAGTATTACAACTGGCAAAATGTGCATTTTGCCTGCCTTGTTATTGCCTTTCCTAATTCTATATTGTTTTGATGGCTTTTATTGCAAGTGCTAATTAGGCAGCATTACTCAAATACAAACAAAATTACCTCGGAGCTTACCGTCAACCTGAGCACTAGATGCAACAGCTTCGTGAGTATTGTTTTTTGAGGCATTTACTTCTGCCTTTAGCAAAGGACAGCTGTGAAAACTTCAACTTGACAAACTTTTCTTGGTCGTCAAGGGCAACTCCCCATACGTCATGTGGGTTTTCCTGGTCACTCAACTCATTCCAATGCCTGGACCTGTGGTGACTTATTGATTGCGGTGTTTTCATTTTGAAACACAGGGTGAAAAAGAGAGAAACCCCTCTGCACTCCTCTATAACATTCTAAGCCGCTCTTTTACTTTAATAGAGTTCAGTTTAGTGCGTGAATCCTTGTTGCGTATGCAAGACTATTTTTCCCACTCCTCCATGGTGCGTGCCATCATCATTAGCAGTCTTCTGCACAATAGCTAATTAGCTTTCTCATCTCCGTCTGCCTTCCCCATCCTGACTCAACTCAGCTAATCCCAGCCAATTACGAATAAAAGCTTTTCTTGCCGGCTACATAGGTATGTGTGTTAGTTTGTGTGTGTTTGTGTGTACGTGAGCTTCTAGTGTTGCCTCTGAATGATGGTAGTTTTTGCAAACGACACCATAAACACATACCCCCGGGTGACACATGACTGATTTTTAATGTCAAGCCACTTGTTAGAAGGATGGCACGGTGCCTGTCCTAATCACTCCAGACAGCCAGAAACGGGACAGCCAGACATAGACCCATCGCAAAGACATGAATTTGTAAAAAGGCCTGCCAAAATACAATGGCTGCATTATTTCATGGGTCCCGGCTGTGGTGTTAAACTCTACACGTCTCCAAAGGTTCTTTGTTACACTGTGGCGGGCTGTGTAATCAGTCTGACATAAGGGTTTTTGAATTTTTTTGTTTGAATTTCTGTCAAGAGAAAGTCTTAATCCCAAAGGCTATGAAAACACAAATCCATCTCTTTCCATAACGCTGACAGGCCCCTGAAAGATGTACTGACTATCCCTGAATTTCAATTCTGTCAGCAACAAAAACGGGACCTGAGGATGAATACAGTCTCTTTGTTTTTCCAGTGGCTGAGAGGAGAGGGGCTTACATGCCACTATTCAACGGAGACTCTTACCTGGAGCTGAAGGGGCTCCATCTCTACGGGCATGATCTGCGGTAATCCCATATCTCTGCATGAAACACACCTAGTCAAGACTTGCATGTATTACTTAACACGGGATACTGTGTAGTTTTCATAGGCTAAGCTTGTTCTGTGCCTGAGGCAGCGCTGCCTGCTTTAAGCCTGAACTGAAGACAATGTCACACAAATAATACAACGTCATGTAGGTCTAAGCACCGAGAATATATAGTATCTCTACCTCATTTCCATATAGACAGAATACCAGTGCACCAAAAACAAGCAAGCAAGCATCTTTTGTTTAAATCTCAGGTATGTATAGTAATGTATCTCTGACTCTTGCCTGTGTTTAGACGCTTTGCTTGTTTTGTTTCTGCAGTCAAAAGGTCAGCGTGACAGTGATTCTCATGGCCAATGACTCCAACGGTTTGATCTTCTACAATGGCCAAAAATCGGACGGAAAAGGAGACTTCATCTCTCTGTCACTCAATGAAGGGATCCTGGAGTTCCGCTACGATCTGGGGAAGGGACCAGCCACCATCAGGTTAGCATCATCTGAAAGTCAAAGAAGGTTTAAAGGGACAGTTCCCCCCCAGAATCACAAATACCAGTCATTTTTTTTCTCTGACCTGCAGTGCTATTTATCAATCTAGATTCTACTCATGCATCTACTCATGGACAAGAGACTTGGTGTTGCTAGGTGAGCTAGCTGTAGATGCACAGTTCTTCTGCTCAGTGAAAATAGTTCCAACATGAAACTGCTCACAATAAGGTCTGTGGATTAGCTTGAGTAATGTGCTGGTGATTTCTGGAAAGAGACATTGCTGTTGAGTTTTTTCAAATGTATTTTTTGGCACTTTGAGCACCACAAGTCGAGTGCCATCTAGTTCCATTATATTGGAGAGAAGGCAGACATCTCTATGGCTGATATCCCCAGCACTCTGCAACTCACACCAAAACGATCAATAGTAATAAACAGCACTACAGGTAAGACTGACTTTGAGGGCGAACTGTCCCTTTAACATAGTTTTTTTTTTTTTTCACTGTTAGTACTCTGTAAGGGTCCATGTCATTGGTCCGACAGCCCATTGGTCCGACATCCCAATAGTCCGACTGTCCGCGGTGCTGAACAGCTCGCAGCAGGCGTATGGTGCACCGCGACCGGCTCTGGGTCAGCTGGGAAAGGCTTGAGGCGGAGCAGGCTTACGGCTTATGTGTTTGCCACTTTCTTTTTCATTTTAACCCACACCATGATCTTTTCCTGACCCTAACCAAGTGGTTTTTGTGCCTAAACCTAACCAGACCTTAACCACAAGGCATCATGATGATTTTGGAACAACGGGACTTCGGAACAATGGGTTTAATATGGTCGGAACAATGGGCTGTCAGACCAATGGGCAGTTCCCCTCTGTAATGACAAAATAAGGAAAACATATTTTGTGAACATGCTACTGATTAAACTACATACTGATCACAGCAATGTGTTTTTAATGAGCTTGTGTTTCCTAGTAGATGACTCACCTGAGTGTGTGTGTGTGTGTGTGTGTAATTCAGGAGTAAGGAACCAATCCAGCTGAACGTGTGGAACACCATCAACCTGGAGCGCTCCAACCGCAAAGGAGAAATCATGGTGAACAACAAAGACCCTGTCAGAGGAGAGGCACCGGTAAGAAAGAGCAAGCTAACAGGCTCCTGCCAATGGTGATCTTGGGCTGATGGGCCTGCTCTGTGTCTAGCCTTGCTTGTGCCATATTTACCGTATTTGTTTGATCATCTGCGTGCTCTTATCATGACATCGCCACAACCTGGGCTTCAGTGCTCCTTTTTTTGCCCTTGTAGAGGCAGTTCAACTTGCCGCTTCAGGCACAGTTGAATCAGCAAACTTTCCTCCCTTTGCTAAGGTTTTCCACACCGCTTCACAACATGCCGTTCTGCCGGCTTGATTTGCTGAAAATATGCCGCTATCCCCCGACATCCATCAAGGTAAGAGGGAGAGCTTCAGATGTAGAGGGCCAGTTTGACAAGCTGTCTTAATTTTGGAAGTCCTGTAATTCCAAAAAAAGAAGAAAAAAAAACTCGCCTTTCAGCTTGCTGACGGACTGGAGATAAAACTAAGTGTTGCATACAGAAAGCAAAAGCAGCTTTTACTGCTGGTATACAGTCAATTTTATAAATTCAGCCTTTGAGTTGGTGTCTGGGGAGGTGGAGGCAGATAAAGGAGATACAGTAGCAGCAGCGAGAAGAGCGTAATGAAACTCCTCAGCCCCACGTCTAGACCAATAAAGCAGGTACATGCTTTCAAATGAAGGCGATCTAATAGTTTGATAAGCCTGTAAGTCAACCAATTATATTAACCAGTGTAATTTGTGATTATGAACATGAACTCTGTCAACTCCATCATCTTCCTCTAAGATGCAACGCTCTCCTCGATCTTTTTTTTTCCTTCTCTCACTGCTCTGTCCTTCCCCCACCGCCTCCTGTCGTCCGTATGGTAATTGTGTTTTACTCCAGCAACAGAGGCAGAAAATCTTATTAAAAGAGGAGAGCAAGGGGAAAGCGAAGATGGGTGTGGAGGGGGTTGGGGGGGGGGACGCAAGGGATGAGCTGAGACTAGTTATGGAGCTCAATGCAGAGACCCCATCTAGTGTGGCTCTCAGCTAATTCTCTCCTACTCCTGCTGTAAGAACCAGGAGGGAGTTATAGTATGCCTTGCTTAGAGAAGCCTAAATCATATCAAAGGTGGACACACACAGGCACATGTATGGATGCGTACTGCATGTTGGGAGCATTCATCAAATCAAAGTTGGCCCGACTGCCAGCATGATAAAGCGCATACTTTGAAAGGCACATAGGTACGGATAGGAGAGATGAATCTTCCTCACCTTTCATTCAGTGGCAGCAGTCAGTAAATGAGGTTGGGTGAAGTGGAACTACTCACCGTCTCTCATCCATAAAGTTTATTCTTTTCATCTTTTCTTAATGGCACCATCTGCTTCATGCATGGCCTTCTTAGACTTGCGGACTTATTTGTATTCACTCTGTTTAGGTTTCAGCTAACACTTGCACAGCTTTGTGGTTGCACAAGGTATATAACACGAAGGTGCATGTGCAAAAAAGGGGTCTCACACATGTCTTATACTCTTATTTAATGTGCTTGTCTCACTTGTCTGTGCTACACTGCAGCTATGTGTAATGCTCTTAAAGATGTGTGTGTGTACATGGGAGTATATGCGAGTGTGTGTGTGTGTTCTGAGGGCTTTTGCACTTGCTAGCTCCAGCTCTGCATGCCTCTCTGTGCACAGACACCTAGTAGTCATCCCTTAATAACTCTCTTCCTCCCTATTTTCTTTCCTTCTCTATGATGTGCTGTCTGGAAATAAGAAATCACGCAAGGTAATGAGACAAGTCCCAGTCACACCTTAGCCCATGTTTCATTTGAGTCCTTCACTATGTCCTCTCACCCCCATCTCTCCATGCAACAACAGCACAGAGAAAAAAGGTACTTCTGCAGAGCTGCGGGCAGCTTTAAAGGTGCCAGTTCTGGAGAAAAACTTTGCCATTTCATAAGCCCATACACACACACATGCACACAAACAGCACTGAAGCAGAGATGCTCTTAAAGAACGCGGTTTGGCTTTCACCTCGGTCCATCTGCTGTGGGGGTGGAAGGGGGTGAGAAGGTGGGAGGGAAGAAGTAAAGAAGACAGTCATCTTTGTGACGGCCATTGTTTTTAGCAACAAAGGAACGTCTTCATTAGTGTGGCGTAGGCGGGGACATTACGCCAGTGCCGCGTGGCTGTCGAAAAGTGAGAGCAAAGACGGGAGGCGAGCGAAGGGGAGGAAATATACCGTAGGAGACGGTGAGGTGCCAAGCCAAGCCGAGCTGTTCTTTTGTCATCTGCTCTCACTTCTTCTGCAAACAGGAGCAGTTCTTCATAATATCATGAAGTCGCTCACTCTTTCACTCAGTCACTCACTCGACCATAACAACACAAACACTCACTGAGCAAGAATCACTCCATAGAACCAGCTGTCCTCTCTCACCAGGTGCACATTATTACCTGTGTGAGACAAAACGGACCATGATGCATCATTTCATTGCATGCAATCTCACTTTAGAGTCATTGAAAAGTAACTTTACATAAGTAGAATGTGCTCAAAGTACCACATTGTAAAGAGGATAGATATACAAGATCCAAAAGTCCAGGGGAACAAGTTCAATATTTATCTGTAACTTTTACCTGCAGAGTAAGTGAGTGCTGCAGAGCAGTAATGTCTACATAAAAAGACAACTTTTGGCTGTGCCTAGAAGCATCAGCCACAGCTGGGTCCAGCAGCTTTGGCCAAGGTCCCCACCCTGTCTCTGTTGGAAGCAGCTCAAGGTGCAGCGACACAGCCCCGGGCTCCAGCCAAGCACCGCTGCCTCCTGCACTCCAAATCCCATCCTAAATAAAAGCCTTGCTGGTGCCAGCTTGCCTTCACAAAGCCTTGTTTATTTGGCCCTTTCCATCATTTTTCCAGCAATTAACTCCACTTTGGCCCTCTGGCAATTACTGCTCTACATAAAATAAAGATCATTAATTCCTTCCTTCTGAAGTGGGCCGGCTCTTCCACGCAAAAGAAGAGAAGCAGCACCTTGCTAATGCAAAGCAATTGTCCCAAAGGTTTGGTGGAAAGAATCGAATTTCATAGCCGTCTGCTGCGCAAATGAATTGCAATTAATGTGTCTCCACACTCAACTGTTTGAAAGGTCGGTGCTTATGATCAGCCATTTATTAGAGATGTCTGTTAAGAACCATCCATATCTCAAGTCCGGCCTGCTCCTGATTTCCCTTTGTAGTCGCTTTTTATGTCTCACAGATAGAGGATAATTGACCACTCTCTCTGAGAGACATAGAAATCAATTATGTTGTAATGTATCAAGTGTATTGATGTGGAAAGAAGGCAAGGGAGTGCAGTTAAAGCATCTGCGGGCTACAATATGGATAACTCCTTTTTTTTTAATGGGACAATCTATATGACTGTGACATGTCTGCAAATTTGGTTTATTAATCTCACTCTTTATATCTCGACTAAGAGGATACAACTTATTTCATGCTCCCTGGACACAAACACGTGCAGGAACTCTCTCACTCACTTAAGTAAAGCCATAACCTATTACTTCCTGAATAGAAAACCCCTGAGAAGAATTGAAGATGGGGTACGGTGAAGATTAAATTGAGTGATTTTAAAGATATATATTGGAGCTTTTTTTTTCCAAGTTTGCACATCTCCAGCTCATTTTACCTCTTTGTGTCCTGTCTCATCAGAACCTGCATGTAGATCTTAACCTCAAAGAGTCTCTTTTTGTTGGCGGAGCTCCTGATTACAGCCGACTAGCAAGAGTCGCTGCACTCACGGATGGCTTCAAGGGAACAATCCAAAAGGTAATGTTTACAAGCCTTTATCTCTTGAAGGGGTATTATGTCATTACCTCGCTTGTGGATTCTACTAATGTATATATGTTATTATAATGACTCTGGGCTCTTGTGCCCTCCGTAGCAAATTCCGATGATAAGTTATTAGCTGTCCAGCTGTCATACAACAGACCCCCATATTAGTAATTTTCCATTATAAGCTCACACTGTGACGGGCAGTGGCTCTGCTCATTTGGATTAGCATGCACTAATAATAGAATGCATATTTTGAAGTCCCTCCCTTTCACTATTCTCAGATCTTTCCCTGACAGCCTTCCAGTTTTTTTCTCCACTTTCCAACAAAAAGCTCATCTCTGAGTGCCAGAAATAACCCACTAGAACAAAGGCAAGATGTTACTGTTTGTGCAAACTTGTCATTAGTTCTCCTCTGCAAACTTTCCCTTGACAGTTTCGAGCAAATCAAAAGCTAAATGTGACTTTTGTCTTGCTTTGACTCTAGGGAATAATTAATTATGACGGTATGTATTCTCAGTACGATGCACTGTTTAAAGGGGACTGATTATGCTCATTTTCAGGTTGTATTTCAGGTTTCTACTAGAACATGTTAACATGCTTTAATCACTTTATTTTCCTGATGCTGTCTGTGCTGGAACACCTTTATTCACCTTCTGTCTGAAATGCTGTGTTTTAGCACCCCTCCCAAAAAAAGCAGAGTCTGCTCTGATTGGTCAGCATTTCTTGGTCTTTCCATATCATTGCAGCTGAGGAATGACAGTAACAGAGTATAGCAGCACTTTCTTATGAGACATATCACCAATAAAAGCTTCTAAACCAAAATCTTCACAACCAGACATGTTCCAGCAGGAATATGATCTAAAATCAAGGAGTAAAAGGTTCCCTTTAACCTGTTTGTCATATGGACACCTGATTTCTGAGACATTTTACCTGGTAACAGTCCATGTACTAAGTTGTTAGTTCTTGGGATTTGGTCTGATACATAGGTTTAATGGTCATTGAGCAAAAAACACAATGGTACCATTACTGGATGAGTTCTTTTTGGACAACAACCGAGAGTGGCAACAAATGATAATTTTCAAGTGTTTTGCTATTTAGAGAAAAATGAAATCAGATAAATTTGACAACCAAAGCAATGAAACAAAGGTAAGAGATTTAAAAGCAAGACAAGAATAATAAAGATAACCCTCCAAAGAAAGGTCAAAAACAATTAATATCAAGTGTGTTACATAAACACCAGTCTGTGTATGATTACGTGTAAGATTATACTGATTAAACTCTCAAAGCTTGCAGGCAGGTTGGTCCAAAATGTGGGAATAAAAATACCTAGCTTGTATTTGAAAACCAGAAATTCAGATTGCTTCTGTGGACTTTGTTTTTGACCTAAAACCTACTGTTAGCCTTACTGGAGTATGTAGTATGTGTTGACTGTATATTATGTACAGTATGCTATGTAATAATGGCCCAGAAAAAATGTTTTCTCACTCAGCTTCTTACTATGAATACACTAGCAGTGAGCAAACCTACATGAACACACACTTTTCTGTCAGTGTTGAACAGTTTGGATTACTTAATGACAGATTTGTATATTTGTATTTTTCCCTTGATTTTTTCACCAGTTTAAAGAGGGCAGGGCTCAGATGAGAAAAAAATCTAATTTTTTGCACCATTCAGAATTTAAAAACATGTGAATCAAAATGTATCTAAAGTCGGGGGACTCCCAAGAAACAAGAAGCGTCAAAATCAAATATGGCCGAGATATCCTGGCCTTTATGCTATCCTCCAGACAACTTGGAACTCAAACAAATTCTGACCCCCTTCTAGGAAAGTACAGGGTTAAAGAGTTCCTTCTTGTAAACTTGGGGCAAATCCGTCTACCTTGGTTTCATGGAGAAGCAGATGTTGACATCACGCAGCAGTGGCACATAGCACCCGTGCACCCACGGAAGTAGACATTGTAAATTGTAACATTGTAGCATTGCTGAGAGTTCAGTGGTGTGTACATTTGCCAAAGAAACATCAGTTTGTCATGGTTAGCCATGTTTTTTGTTTGGCGTTGTGCACCTGGAACTCTTGGAGGTCAGAAGTTGGAAATTTCAACTGGGAATTTCAAACCTCCAACTTTGACTGGAGCCCAGCATTGGTCCCTAGTATGGGTCAAACTTCAGGGGGTGTGGCTACTACATGTCTCATACAACCTATAGCATTTTTGTTAAACCCTCTCTGGTAAATCTTTACAGCTTCATGCCTCAAGTTTGTAACGCAGGCTTTCTGTTATGTAAATGTGTAGTCTCCAAGCCCAAACTGAAAAAACCATGACAACATCATCAGGATTATTTCTTAAAAAACTTAAAAAACTCCTCACGAGACACAGTAGACAATCTCGCATACTATGCTAAACATGACTAGTAATTAAACCTTTTGTGTGTAACCTCAAGTATGCGAAAAGTCTTTGGCATGCCCCTTTAACCCTTTGTTCCCTGCTTCCAGATCATTCTGATGGGTACCCCCATCCTCAGAGAGGAGAACGCCCTGCGCTCCAGCAACATAGCCATGTTCCAGGACCACCCGTGTTCCCATGAGCCCTGCCGCAACGGCGGCCGCTGCAACCCCATGCTGGACACCTATGAGTGTGTTTGCCTCAGTGGTTTCTCAGGGGGACACTGTCAAAACAGTAAGTACCTTGGACATTGTTGTTAACGTCTATCCTTACTGCCATATTACATTCATTTTAATCTAACTGTCAAAAAGTTAAAAAAAAAAACAAAAAAAAAGTCAGAAAGTCACAGACAATGATGCTTGTTACCCCAAATATATTTGTGTGGATCACTTTATTAATTAATGCGTAAGCCAACAACTAGCGATTCTTGCTGGCTTGAGATCACCTCATTATGACACTGTGAAATTGCAATTAATGATTGTAAGTGTACAGATTGTTTTATTTCCTTATCCAACATTATTTGGTTTTGCTCTGAAAGAATACGTGGCAGCATTCTGGCTGCTTTTAAAGTGCAGTGTGATGAGTGGGACTGAAATCAGCAATACTTTATGTAGCACAGTTTGTTCTTGGCTTCCCTGAATGGAAGGTGAACTACGAGTTTTATTTTTTTTTCTGCTCATAACACTTTTGTTTCCATTGTGTTCTGTAGAGGCAGTAGTAATAATGTCGGTATAAGACGTATGCTGTCTCTTTTATGTTAGGGTTATTATGTATTGATTTCAGAGCAAAGCGGCAGTTATGAAAATGATGAAACGTGCCAATTGAATATTCATGAAATACTCTTCTCAAGAGTTGCACATCCCTTTCATCATCTTCATGTCACCCTGCCAGACATATACTCACTCTGGGCCGATCTGTCTTATATACTCAGTCACTGCCTTCGCCATTAACCTTGTGCGTGTGGCCGGCTGTCCCTTTCACGTTAATTAAAATTACAAACGCACCAACACTTCCCCCCCGTCCCATTTGCTCACACTCCATTGCCTTCAGCTCTGATAACTGAACCCTCTGTCTTATTGATTGGTGTGATCTCATCCTCTGAACAATTCTCCAACCCCCCACCCCGCCCCCCTTCCTTTGCAGCCATCTACGAGAAGTCTGCTGGAGAGACCGAGGCCATTGCCTTTGACGGGCGGACGTTCATCGAGTACCACAACGCTGTTACAAAGAGGTAAGGAAGAGGACAAGGGGAACATCCTCATCTATTCAGCTTCATCCAACATCTCCTTTGTAATAGCTATTAGCCAAATAACCCCTCTGTCTATTCATCTCCTCCCTTGGTAAGCCATGATGACAGTGTTGATGATATCATCAGTGCTAAGGCTTCAGGGTGAAGTAGGCGCTTGGCTAATAGCTCATCCCCCCCCTGTCCATGGCATTCTTGCTCCGCTTTTGACAGGATTTTACTAATTAGCGAGACGGTTAACAATCACAGTGTTTGCCCTGAGCACGCTCAGTTCGCTCTGTGGTCTCCTGCTGTGCACACACTGGACAATAAGCACACACACACACGATTAAACTTTTTATTCTAACACGTGTATGACTGTTCTCCGTAAAACTGGCATCTGAAGACACGTCGCCTGCAATTTTGAACACCCTGTAAAGAGAAAAAGCAGACGACGTAAGTGTAAAATGGTTTTTGGAGCGGGTGTAAAAAAAAAAAAGAAAAAGAAATCATGTCCCTTTAGGCAGCTGATGAGACATTTTTACTCTTCCATCCATCTACAAGGTTGGCAAGAGTGCGCCTCCAGGTTGGCATAAACAAAAATGTTTATGTGATGAACCTGAAAAGACATCAAGCATACGGCTCTATATCTTCGTCTCACAGCTCTTCACACAAACACTCAGGTGTGAAAACCGGGTCACAGCCTGCAGATCATCACACTCCCTTGGAGACGCACAACTCACGCCCACTCAAAAACAACTGGCTGGAGAACTCTTGGCGGATATGTGTGTCGTTGTTTGTATCTTTGTTGTTTGTCTCAGCGTTCCAGTTGTGTGAGCTTTGTCCTGTCCTGCAGTCTGACTTCCCTTGTCGTTGTCCGCACACGTGTTGTCTCATATAAATGTCCTTCACTGTCTTTCCTTTTTCACTCAAGCCAACTGACCAATGAGATCCCAGAGTAAGTAAACTTTACGACTGGGTATTTGCCCAGCTTCAAATCAAGCCCAACTAACAGCAAACCGAAAAAAAAGGCATTTTTTGGTAGTTAACCCAATTGAAGAGATTAAAGTACATTCAGTTTCCAGTCATAATTTCCACACAGAAATCATCTTTACCGTTTAAGTCCGATTTTACATTCAAGCTCCATATCCATGATTTAATTTGACAGATTCCATTATTTTAAATACGTTTTGCAGTGTCACTAGATCTTTGCTTTTTTCCCCAGTGCAAAGAGAAGCATGAATGTGTGCATGATAAGCATTGTGCTCAACCCTCAGAGAAAATGAATTGCTGTACTAAGAATGTGCAATATTTTATGCATGGTTGTAACTCGTTCATAAACAAAATGAATTGCCGTGCACTTTACGCTGAATCTGTTATGTGGGAAATGAACAAGACCCCTTGAAAAACTGCAAGGATAGGATACACTAAATACCCCTTAACCTAGTTTCTGGTGCCTGCAGAGTTTCTGCTTGGGAAAGCCCTTGGTCATGACTTAGTTATTAAGGGTTTTTCTTCCAGCTCATTAGCTCGGTAAGTAACCTCTTTTTTAAAAAATCCCACAAAGCGACGAAGCAGAATTCAGCTCATATTAAGCCGACTGGATTCAGCCTAGAGTTCCAATCCATGCCAGGGCTTCTGTCACTTCGTTTTTGCCAGATCTCTAACTGTAATTGTGAATAATTACGGAGTCGGCCGTACAGAGAGGCAGTGACATGTTAATCACAGATTTGTCTCCCTTTGTAGATTAGACCGCCAATTGAGATCTCTCCGCAGTGTGTAGCCATGGGCATCAATCTCACTTAGCAGGAGGGGACAGTGGTCCTTGGAGCCAGACTGTCAAAAGTTTAATGGATGTCAAATTTACTAAGAGCCACAATGAGAGTGAATCTAAGCAAACCAAAGCCCTGCCGTGGTGCTCTGAAGGCGTGCCGATCAATTCAGCGTGATTTGATTTTGTAAAGGAAATGAAAACATTTTCTCGAGAGGCCATTAAGAGCTGGGTGAGGCCAAAATGTCAAGCGCTCACCTTGGGTTAATGCTGCTGTTACTATTTACAGCATCCTTTGATCGCTCCGCCTTCACCTCTCTGCCCATATCTGAAAGCTCAGGTCGATTTGCTCAAGTCCCATTATTTCGGTGACAAATCATATCTGGCCATGACTCTCAACTGATATGGCGCTTGACCCCATTTTTTGACAATTGCCCGATTTTTCCCATTCACTGCTTTCATCTCTAGACAGAAGGTAATTGCCTCCGCTCCATGGCGTGCAGAGCCATAAATATAAAGGAGTTGTTCGATAATTGGATGCTGACTTAAAGTAGCCTTTGCACCTGTGCGGACACTGACCATGAGTGTACTTAATCTTGATGCTCACATTTAAAAAAAATGCTTCATCCAAGGGCATTTTGGTGCATTACTCATGCATCTTGATCCGGCTAGTTCCCTCGAGAGGCTCCTTTTATGGTTTCGGTGTGATCAGGGCTAAGCTACACACTTCCTTATGATCACACAGCAGTTGTTATCGACTGTTGACATGGTCGATATTGTAGTAGAGCAGATAAGTTTTGCAGCTCCAGGTCTAAACTGGACCCTTTGTGAGTCACCCAGCGGGCTCACAACATCCTTCCTCCCCTCCTTCCTCCCCTCCTTCCTTCTTTCCTTCTGGCCTCTTGCGCTTACACTGCATGCCGTTGACTTTCTCCCCTGCTCCCTTAAGTCCCGAGTCTCTGGAGAACCCATCTGATCAGAGGTGAGTCTCTCAAAAGCTTTTAGACTTTGGCACCGTCCACTCGCCTCCTCATCCTCCCCCTCCTCTCCTCTCCAGACAACCCCTCCCCGACCTCTCACAGGGCTAAACCCTTCTCCGCGGAGACAACATTGTTTCCATTATTGAGATAGAGTTACCAATACGAATCACAAAGAGCCTCTGCTTCAATTAATTCTGAAGTTCAGAGCTCCGATAATGGCACAGAACCAGCCAGAGCTGCAGCCTCTTTTCAGCAGCTGTCCTCCCTGATGGCTTTTTTTTATTCTAACCACTACTGCCACCTAGAGTTGAAACGGAGGACAGCACTGAATAGAATTCCTGAGAATTTGAATACATATAAGAAGTAGATAAAATCCCTCCATTTACAAAAAGAAACAGCAACACACCAGCGATCTATGAAGTCAGTGGTGTATATGAGATTTAGAATGCTGTGCGCCAGCGTTGTTTTATTCATGATATATTCAGCACTTTTAATAACCTTGACCTTATCACTGACAAGCCGCTCCGATGGAGATTTATTGGGCCCTGTAAGCTCTTTGAGGGTTTGCCAGGAGAGGGTTCACTGAGCTGTATTTGTGGGAGCTTTTCTCTCTCTCTCTCTCTCTCTCTCTCTCTCTCTCTCTCTCTCTCTCTCTCTCTCTCTCTCCCTCTCTCTGTCTCTCTCTCTCTCTCTGTGTGGAGAAAAAAAATGATTCTCTTGAATCATACTTTTTTTTGTTCCTGTTTACCTCAGCGGATTTAGTTAATCAAGGGGGGTCAAAGTTTCCAACCTAAGCATGTTTTTGAAGCATTTGATTCTTGATTCCTTCCCCGCTTCTGCTGAGGTGAACCAGCATTATTGTTGGCCTGAACTGTCAAAGTCGCCTTCACCTCAGGCCAGCAGTTAATAAGCTCCAAAGTGAAACATCATCCCATTGCTTCTACAACCGATGCTCTTTTTATTCTTGCTTGTTAATGAAAAGAAAATACTCAGAGAAAATGAGGAAATACTTCTTACAGTGTAAGGAGAAATTTAGTACTCAGTTTCTCTTTATCCCAACCCATTTCCTGTCCTATTTGTACTCCCATGAGCCTCTTTGTTTGCTATGCTGACTCCTTTGTCTTGTCGTCTGTCTTTTCTAATCTTTTCCTCCAGCTCTGTGCTGCTGTCCTTTTTTTTAATCCACGTGTCATTGGTTCTTTGTTGTATGTGTCCTCACCTTGTCTTTGTCTTTGTGTTTAAATACCCTTTGAAGAATGTGGAATTAGATCCATTTGGCAGATGTGCAGGCAATTGCACAGATGCTGATTGATGACACGCACACACAATTGTACACAGACACACAAATCGGAGGTATGATTCTGTGCATCTCTGCTGGACTTACACAGACCACAGAGCCTTTGTAAAGTGTGTTTGTATGCAGGAATATATATATATGATGGCGTTTGCGTGCGCACACATACAGTAGAGGCACATTGTGGTGTGTATTTTTCTCACACATCTGTGACAGTGACGTACAGCGTCTCTTAGGGTAGGTGGAAGTCGCCAAGTCTCTGCATCCAAATCACCCCCGGAGCTGTAGCAGTCAAGAGACTGGAGATCAAACAGCTGCCTAAACAACACACACAAATTCACACAAATTCATACACACACACACACACACACACACACACACACACACACACACAGAGGAAGCACTGAGCAGCAGTGCAGTACAGGCTCAGTAGGATGTAGGAAAGCTAATAGCAAAACAGCCCCCTGCTACTCCTAAACTCAGTCTGCATCCTTAAAAATCACTGTAACTCTGTTAGGATGAGGCTGTGGAGCCCGAGCTTTAAGCTTTCTTTGTGGTAGTACACAGAACCATATGTCATTGAATTATGGGTAATGTACCCTTGAGACAACAGCAGAAGTCCCTTGCTTCACATATTCAACTAAAAATGACGCGAGCACCAACTGCGCCGTGTCAGCGCCGCCAAAGATTAGACCTCTTTTTGATGAATTGGACTATAAGCTAACTAATGTATTTTCTGTTCTCCTAGTGAGAAAGCTCTGCTGGTGAACAAATTTGAGCTGAGCATCCGAACAGAGGCGACCCAGGGCCTGGTGCTGTGGAGCGGAAAGGGCGTGGAGCGCTCTGACTACATCGCCCTGGCCATTGTGGATGGACACGTCCAGATGACATACGACTTGGGCTCCAAGCCTGTGGTGCTACGCTCCTCCGTGCGCGTCGACACCAACCGCTGGATACGCATCAAGGCTAGCAGGTAAGATGGGAGATGGCAGGTAGCTGGGGGGATCAGTGAGTGAAAGCTTTTACAGTTAGACCAGGATTAGACTTAATCCATATTGTGTTTGTGTTGCTGCAAACTGTGTGATCTCTTGCATGAATTCTACGCTACACAGTGATCCCCTGCACTGAGATGACTCTGATTAGTTTCAGATTAAGGTTATTTTCATGCCTGGTCATGCATGAGGATGACGCATTTAGCATCGAATTGCTTAGGCACATTAATGAATGTTCAAAAGGAAGAACATGCGGCAACATCCCAACACATTTTGGCACATTATAGAAAATGTATCCAGGAAATAAATGAATAAATACATAAAGAAACATGACAGTATTTATAGTAATAGATACACTGTATGCATACAGTATACACATTACATGCATTGATCCCATTTGAAGCCTCAATATAGCAGCTGAAATAATCTTAAAGGGGACCTATTATACTTTTCTGTATTTTGTGTCTTATTTATAGTGTTACAGTGTCAGATGTCCTTGTTTAACATGGCCAAATTTTCAAATAATGAAGTAAACATATGTGAAGTTAATCCCTGTCAGCAAAAACTTCACGATTCAGACCGTTCTAAACACTTCGTTTCCAACAGTTTTATCTACTTTGGCTAAATTTTGATGCCACAGTGTGATAGAGTGTAGACATTATCTTACACTGCTACATGTAGCTACACGCTAATGTCAGGGAAACACATAATCTTGGTTGTAGATGTTGTTTTCTCCCTGATTTTGGGTCATAGCTGTGCTGCGAGCTTTTTTCTGTGATTTTTTTTTTTAACAAGAGAATGTGCTGCTATACAGAGTTATACTCCGGCTGCAGATTGACTGCTACATGTAGCTAAATACTAATGTTGGGGAAACATGTAATCTTGGTTCTCCCCTTTGAAAACTAGATATCTGCACAGGGAACGTCTTTTCAAGACAGGTCATCAAACTCATGCTCTAAACATGCTTTAGTAGTGTATATTCCTATATTCTGTATTTAAATTGCAATTGATCAGATTGCCATTTGTTTGTGTTAATTCTGTTCTGTAGACATTTTATACACCTACAAATTGTAGCATGTGTCTGCAGTATGTACATAAATAAATAAGCCATAAATTAGACACAGCAACACAGGTTTTAGTTTAGTACATGAATAATCATTCCAAACATAGAAAAAACAAAGCAAGCAATACTTTTTTTGCCACACAGTGATGTCACATTAATGGATTCCTTCATTAGAAACGAATTAACTGCCTGAACTTTGAAAATGACCCACTTAACACCTTCCACGCGATCTCTGCTTTATCACTGCTGAACATTTGTTTTCAGCGTGGCTGTGAATGGAAGTACGGGGGATAATTAGATTGGTTTCATCATGTAAAGCAAGAATAATCGATCCTCAGAAAAGCCGCTGCATCCGTTTCAAACGGGGATTTGGCCAAGTCTCATCCCAGGCTTACAGGGAGACCACATGAGATGCAGGAGTAGGACATAATTTGGATGCTGATGATGGTGTAAATCACAGCATGTGGCACCGCAGCTCACAAAGTTACATAGATATCTGTGTTTGTGGCTTGTCTTTAATGACACCCTCTCTGTTGGAAACCCGCTTTAATGGGTTCAAATTAGCCCCGTCGTCACAATTCTTAAGTGTGTGCTAATGCGTAGTGCAGAGCCACCTAAAATGAATGGTGCTCTAACGGCATCTGTTAGCTGGTAGACAGGCACATTTAGAACGCTGCTTGGCAAAGGCAGTTATGTGAGTGCTTAGTGCGCTGGCAGAGGAGCAATGGAGTCTTGATGCTTCTGATTAAATGAAACTGCAATTTACAGCTATTCAGTATGACATGCATGTATCAGACCAACTTCCAACTGCATCTCTCTCTTGTTTTTTTTCCTCCTCAGAGCACTTAGAGACGGTTCTCTACAGGTTGGCAATGAGGCAGCGGTAACAGGGTCATCGCCTTTGGCAGCAACACAGCTGGACACAGACGGAGCACTGTGGTTGGGTAGGTGCCCACATGTGTAGAAGAAAAAAAAAAACATCATTCAGACTTGAAAATATGTCTACAAATGCCATACATCAAGTCAAGGGAATACTTGTAATTCTGTGCTACTCTTTCATCCTAGCCAGTGGTAGAAGGCTGCCAAAAAATGAGCAATAAACTCATTGGCATTGCAGAGGATAAGCAAAGGCTCTGACAGGGAAAAAAGATTGCGGTTTGGGCAAAAAAAAAAAAAAAAATGTCCAAGCCTATTCAGGTATTGAGTTGAGAAATGAAAGGCTATCTGACTAATTCAAAAGTTGTCTGCTCTCCTGAATTGAAAATGACCAAAGTCAGCCTGTTATCTACCTGTTCAATTTGGTCTGAACTTGGCTCAGAGAAATCGTTTTTGAAAGAACACACACGGCACGGCGGGATTGAACATTCTGAGGAAACAACATCGAGGACAGGCAGCGAAATCAAGTCAGACTTTTATTTAAAAATGCACATTGCAAAGGCGGCAAAGAGGCAGGTTTGAGAGGAGAAGCAGCCTGAGTGACATTTAAGAGACGCCGCGTGTCAAGGTGCGCTCAGTGTACTCAGGTACACGTATACAAGCACACACACAGGGAGGCAGTGCAGTGGAACAGGTGCTGAGCGAGCCCTGCAGCAAGAATACATAATCCTCACACAGCCCTCCCGTCGAGAGCCCTTCTCCTTTTTAAATCCCCTTTTCACTGTTCATCATTAATTCATCTGTAACTTGCATGAAATTAGCCCTGTCGATCCCCGATTCTGAGGCACGCAATCCGATTAAAGGGGACAGGGACAGGGGATGTAACGGGCTCGACGGGAATGTGAACTCTCAGCCTGACAGATTAAAAAAAGAGCAAACAGGGAAGAGAAGGAGAGATGGGGAATGTGGGGGGGAAACAGTTGGACTAACATGAAGCGAAGAGAGAAAAGAGGATGCAGGAGGATTCTGACAGTGTAGATAACAGAGAGGGAGAAGGAGAGGGAGAGCAAGCAGGGATGGCAGCCAGGTAAAACATCAAAAACCAGGGTCAGCCTCTCTCCCAGTAAGAACAGATCTCATTAAATTCTGAATAAAGACGTTTCATGCTGATTTATTGAGAAAGACACTAATGACTACTTTGGGTGTGCTGGCTAAAAAAGAGGAGCTCAAAACACCATCAAAAGGGAAAAGGAGGCAGCCACACACCCAGCAATTAGGTCATCAAGTTTCCACAAAAGGACGTTATGAGACTTTGTTGGGAAAAAAAAAAGAGAGCGAGAGCTTTGGATGATTTGAAATAGACAAAGTTAAAGCAAAATGGAAAGTACAAGAGACTGAAACATTTGCTTTGAAGTACAAATCCATGATATTATAATATTAAGAAATTTCCATTTTTAAACTTTCTGTAATAGATAAAACACTTTAGTCCGTCAATTTACATCCAGTTCACAAGTACTTTGAAGGGTCATTCTGACAAATAATAAAAGTTCTTTCACTAATCTCTCGTGGTATCTAGCCATGAAGTTTTGGCCCACACCCCACTACAACGGAGGTGATTGGTATTTTGTTTGTGTTGCTCACAGCGCTAAAACAGGTGGTCCAGTGTGTAGGATTTAGGGGCACCTGTTGGCAGAAATGGTATATGATATTCAGAACTATATCTTCATTAGTTTATAATCACCTGCCGATAAGAATCGTTGTGTTTTTGTTACCTTAGAACAGGGGAAGGCAACCATGTGGCTCTTTGGCCCCTCTGTAGTGGCTCCTTGTGACTTCAAGGAGATGAATAATGTTATTTTTAAAGAAAATAATTTTAATTCATCACTGTTGTAGGCCAAAATTGATTCATAAAATTCTACAAATTGTAAAAGTGTGTGGCCTATACACTGAATAAAAAATGTTTTATGTTCTTCATCAGTCTATGGCCTGGTGCCTTCTCCTCTAAATTTTGCAAATTGTTGGTCTTGAGTCTCCCTTGCCAAGTTAGCTAATAGCTATGAATTCTTAATCCAATAAAAAGGAAAAAAATAAATTTAATATTGCATGGAAAGGTTCTTTGCTTTCACCACCAACACTGCAAAATTAAAGAACCAAATAATCATAAAAAGCCCACTTCAGAGTGGCCATGTCATGTTAAAACATATTCATGAATGCTCATTTCGACCTTTTGGCCAATTAAGACGTAATAGGCCATGTGACCTTCATTATAAGCCTCAAGTATGTTTTTTTGTGGCTCCAGGCATTTTCTTTTTCTTTTTCTTTTTGCAAAAAATGTTTTCCTTTGATAGTAAAGGTTGCAGACCCCTGCCTCAGAATAAATTGTTTGTATCTACATATGGCCTGGGCCCTCTTTTGCAGAGCGGACAAATCAAACACTGGCTCTAGATAAGACCATTTGCGTTTTGCATCAGCCACCATTGTTCTCTTACATGCATGGCACACAGGAGAAATTTCAGTTCTGCAACCTCATCGTCAGATGCCACAAAATCCCTATACACTGGACCTTTAAAAAAAAAAAAAAAAAGAGCAGCAGCTTCTCTTTTGAGTGTCCCAGAACATGCTGTCAACAATGTTTGTAGGGACTGTATTTCTGTGATAGGAAGTAGTTTCAAGTTGGGTGAATTGGCCCATCCGTCCATGTCCTTCCCATTCTTGGACTTGACGGTCCAAGGTCAAAGGTCACCGTCACTGTGACCTAACAAAATATGTTTTTTGGTCACAATTCAAGGATTCATCCGCTAATTATGACAAAATTTCACACAAATATTGAATAACATAAAATAATGAAGGTGTGACATTTTCTATCTAAAAAGGTCAAAGGTCAACTTCACTGAAACACCATAAAGTTCTGCAAAAAAATTGTTCTCTGGCCAATGCTCAATGCCATAATTGTGTGAAGCATCCATGTTTTCACAGACATGGGTGTCAACTGTAAGTGCAACTTAACTGGTTTGCAGAGGCAGTAATTCTAGGCTGATTTGCAGTCAGTCACACAGGAGATGGTTTACTTCATGTCCTTGGTTTGTTAGGAATAAATAGAGAAAGAAGCAGTCAGTTAGCAGTGGTATCCAACAAAGATGAGCAGCCAAAGAAAAGTATAGCACCTACAAGAACTCAAACTTTAAAAAAAAAAAAGCTGTCACAGTTCTGAATACACCAGTTGATGGACAGGCGATATCTGCGGAGTTCACTGCACAGCAACGAGCGCTTAGCACTAAAGATGGAAACAAATTAAAAATAATGAGGACGTTGGGTATTCATAATTTTACACTCTGTCATCACCTTTCATTTGTAGCTCATTTTTTGAGCACTTTATGCACCGTGTCAAATTAAGAGAACCTTCTCTCTCGTCTATCTTACTAACTTACTCTGGCTGCTGTGCAGGCTTTCTGCCTTTCTCCCTTTGATCATGGTGGTTTGACAAATAAAGTGTCAACCTGTCATGTACATCAGCCGGTGTCATGGAGCCAAAAAAAAAAGAAATACAAAGCCTGACAAAGGCAAGTAACTGCTTTAGTACCAGAAATACATTTTTCTACCAAAATATTTCCGCAGCCCTTTGATGGCATTTACAAGGTCTAATGTGTTGTGAAATCCAAGCCTTTATCCTGGTATTTGATCTTTAAAGGGCCAGTCCATGTATTTTACAAGGAAAGGCGAGTTTAAAATCATGGGGAGTACTACTTAAAACAACTGTGTAATGTCTCCACCCTTCCTGATGTCATCAGGAGCTATCTTGGTTTGGGTATTGATATATGAAATAACAAAGTCTGCATTTCAAAATGTGAGGTTGGAGTTTGGTCTGCTGTACTAAAGGAAATGTAGGAACTAGCATTTTGGGTGCTTGACCAATGCTTTATAACTGCAGTAACCCTTTAAAGGGACAGTTCACCCCCAAATCAAAAATACATATTTTTCCTCTTACCTGTAGTTCTATTTATCAGTCTAGATTGTTTTGGTGTGAGTTGCTGAGTGTTGGAGATATAGGCTGTGAGATGTCTGCTTTCTCTCGGATATAATGGAACTAGAGGGCATTAGGCTTGTGGTGCTCAAAGTGTCAAAAACATACATTTTAAATACTCAACAGCAATGTCTCTTTCCAAAAATCATGACCCAGTAACTCAAGATAATCCACAGAGCTTGTTGTGAGCAGTTTCATGTAGGAACTATTTTCTTTCTACCGTACCACACCCACCAATCATATCACCGCGCAGAAGGAAACATGCATCTACTGCTAATTCACCTAGCACCACTGAGCTAGCTAACGTTAAAGCTCAGCTGAGGAGGATGCTATTAATGTTTACATCTGGCACTGTCATGAGCCATGAGCCTCTCATCCATGAGTAGATGCACACTTCCTTCTGCACGGTGATACAGTTACAGGTGTAGTTCAGTAGAAAGAAAATAGTTCCTGCATGAAACTGCTCACAACAAGCTCTGTGGATTATCTTGAATAACCAGGTCATGATTTCTGGAAAGAGACATGGCTGTTGAGTTTTTTGTTTTTGGCACTTTGAGCAGCACAAGCCGAGTGCCATCTAGTTCCATCATAGTGGAGAGAAGGCAGACATCTCTATGGCCAATATCTCGAACACTCAACAACTCACATCAAAACCATCTAGAGTGATAAATAGCACTGCAGGTAAGAGGACAAATATGTATTTTTGATTTGGGGTGAACTGCACCTTTACATACACTAACATTTTTGCTACTTTAGGGGACAGAATGGTTGTTTGGAATAATTATTCTCTAATATATGTCTCAGTTATTTAATTAATATGACTGTATGAGTGTTTTTAGTTAATTCAACATTGTACTAACGTCTGCCCGTCTCCCCTCAGGTGGTCTGGAGGAGCTGGCGGTGGCCCGTCGGTTGCCTAAGGCCTACAGCACCGGCTTTGTTGGTTGCATCAAGGACGTGGTGGTGGACGGTGTGGAGCTTCATCTGGTGGAAGACGCCTTAAACAGCCCCAAAATATTACACTGTCCCGCCGCCAAATAACCCAGCAGAGACAAAATATTGAGAAAAAGGAAAAAAAAGCAAACCTCCCACTCGCTCCCTCCATAGCACCCATGTCTCCTGCTGTAATTATTTTCTATTTTTGTATACTTTTCATCGCTTTTTATATGGAAAGAAAATGAATATGTTGTTTTAATTTTTGTTTTATATATTTTGTTCTGTTTTTTTTAATCTGCACCTCCATAAACAGAACACATTTTCTTTTTCTTTACTGCCCTGACCCTTCATCTTTTTCAAAAAAGCAGGCATCTCTGTGAAAAAAAGAGATATTTTATTCTTGTCAGTTTTGTTGTTTTAAAACAAACGCCAACTTTAAAAAGAAAAAAAAAGGCCTGCTCTTTTTCCACGCTCATTACTTGAACACTGGTGGACCTCGCCGCTGATCTCTGGTTACTGCCTTGTCTTGGTGCCATATCTATCGTCCACATTCCCCAAGCATGGCCTATACATCCATGATTACACAGACGTACATTCCTCCCGTGAAAGCTGGATGCAGTGTACGCTGTGGCCGGCGTGCGCAGCTCTTTGATGCTGCAGCCAGCTGGCGTCTCCAGTCAAGAAACTCTGTAATCAGCCCCGGTAGCCCACTGTATTTTCCTAATGGGACTTTTCAGATATCAGTCAAGCTGCTACAGTGAGAAAGTACACAGTCAAAACCACTCCATCAGCCCCCATCTCACAGCGCCGAAAAAAAGAAAGAAAAGAAAAAACTCTCCGCTCAATCTGAATCCCATCAGAGCCTTTAGTTTTGAAATATGACTCACTAACACTGCAAGCCGACATGACGGAGAGAGCGCTGCGTTCCACAATGACTCGCATATCATTAGTCATAAGTCAAGACATGAATAAACGTTATAAATATAGAGTATATAAATAATACCTGAGACTGTGAATATGTAAGATGGGTTCTCTTTGGAGAATTGTGCTTCTGATGTACTATTGTGCGTTCTGTTTTACAATCCGCAGATGAACTAATGATGACCACTATAAATGCATGCACTTCTGCAGTGTTGGTTTGAATCTGGTTTTTGTTTGTTTTTATTTTTGTTTCGTTCCAAAAAAAAAAAAAAATCTATCTAATTTGGAAAATGTCACTGTTTCGGGGTTTGTTTGTTTTTTTTGCAATGACTACAAAAAGGTTTTTTTCTCTTAATTCCACTGATGTGATTTCAGAAACTACAGAGCTTGGAATAATGTTTTATATTTGCTCATTCCCTGTATCTTTTTTGATCTTTTTTTATTTTCCTTGGGAGCAGTTAGTTTTGCAGGACCTTGAATGGTGCATCAGGGGAAGAGTTGTTACCATATCTGACCTTAGGGAGGTGCTGAAAGCAAAGACTGAAGAAAAAGGACAGACAGAAAGGAGGCAAGGAGAGATCTTATCATGGGGAGTCCTGTCCTGTCAAACAACAGTCAGTCGTCAACACAAACAAAAAAAAGCTTCAAAAAAACTCTGCCCAAGACTTTATTTCTTTTGGTATTTGACCTAGGACCATTCCTGGAGGAGTCTTTTTTTCGGCTGTTGAGAAAGAGAGAGACTGTGATGTTGTTGTGACCTTCTGAAGCCATAACAGCCGCAAAAATGGGAGAAAGATGCATAATCCTACAGTACTTGCAAATTAACATAGTAACGCATGGGTTTGTATTACTAGTGCGAATTCTGTAACATTCAGTGAACTGATGCAACGTGGAGTCGTCTTTGCTGAACCACAATAAGCTGCGATGACTGACTTAAGGACACTTGTTTTGATATGAGAACTTTGGCAATATTCTAAGACAAAATCATGCCTGTTTGTGGTTGAGTATCAAATGGTCTTGTGCTATATCTTTCTTTCTTTCTTAAGTTCTTAATTATGTTTTCTTCTTAAATCATCAAACAACCTGTTTTTGTACAGCCCTGCAATTTTTAAGTGTAAATTTAGCAAATGTGTTATCTGTGGAGGTTTATGTTTTTAGTAATATACACTGGAACCATGTCTGACTTGTCTGTTCGCCCACAAGATGATATACTTATGTACATGGGGGAGGGATAGCCCTAAAGCTATTACTGTGTTGTGTGTAATCAAGCTCTGAGTGTCCACACCAGATCAGGAAACCCTTTTCCTGGTGTCCTAAGACACGTTTAAATTCCAGCACTCACACTATTAACCTTAGACTGGTCTTATTTTACCACACTGTTGTTTGAATTTGATCCATTCAGGTGGTAATGCTCAATAAAGGAGAGATTCCTGTGTATTTGAATGGACTCAAGAACAATAAAGACAACCGCAGTCTGTGGTTTGGGTGGAAACTATTTGCCTTAAAAACCGGTCACCTCGACTCTGAGCAGGTGACAAAGACGTCATCCATATAACTGTTTCCTTATTTTAGCCAGTGTATTAGCCTCATCCCCATAATGTAAAGGAGTAATACATAATAATGATAATTATATTAGTAATAATACACATACACAAAAAAATCCCAGGGGGCCTCTGCAAATGTCCCCTCTGGCTTTTTACAAAAAATCTTCTATTTACTGTTTTTGGAATCTATTTTCTGTTCCTTATTTATGTCTACATGTGGATTACCCTCCATGTCTGGCCTCTGTAAACTACTGTCCAACTGCGCAAACCTCCTCAAAGGGCAGTGCACCAAGAAAGAGTGGCATGACCTGAACATTACTAACTTTATGACCTTTGTCTTGTGTTCCTACCACCATGAAATAAAATGTCAACCAAATGGAGCCCATTCTTGTTCGCCGTCTTGATTGTGCCACCATCTGGAGTTGATTTGCATTTCGACAACTCTTTAAATGCAGCCCAGTGCACCAGAAGAAAATGTTGGCATTGTACATTTATGCAAACCATGGATGCATTTGTACTTTTCATACGTGTCATACCAGTGTTTCTAGAGTGATGTAGTATATGAGCTGTCATTGGGAGGTGGAGGAGGTGGTGGATGGTATGACACCTGGATACCTGTCAAGCTGCAGACCACAACAAAACCTGTCACTGTGTTTCCACCAGGGATAGTTCCACAAAAAATGTTTGTAAAAAAAAAAAAAACATTGCTGCATTTCCAGTGTATATTTCCAACTCTAATTCTAACTCTGTTTTTTGTGCTTAAACCTAACCCCAGATTAACCACAGCGTTATTGAAACATAAAGAAATGTAAAGTTTCGAAGTATCCATTACATTGTTATGTACAAATGTAACGTGTCCATGGTTTGCAGAAACGGCAACAAAAAAATGCTAACATTTATTCTGGCGTTGGGGTTGTTAAATGGTAAGGCTGGTAGTGATCTATATTTTCCACATTGTCAACAAATTCTGGTAAAAGATAAAAGTCAACAGTGTGTTAGTCTGTCTCTTAGTGCTTTCTAACTCTCCTACCCTGTGTGTGACTTTCAGCCCCTAGCCCAGTCAGTCCTATTGAAGATGATTTTTTATTTTTTTTTTTTTTCAAAAAACAAGGTCACAAATATATACTTACATTTTTTAAAAAAAAGGCTCTGCCATTCCCTAAAACAGGTGAGCACTGTAGTTTTTAGCAAATATTACTCAAACAAAAGTAAACAGTGCATTTTTTGGGGACTATTTTCAGCTGTGGATTAATGCACGTTTGGTGCTAGAGCTATTATTGCACCAGAATGGTGAATGTGGATGTGACTCAAAATAAACTACAATGCCCACACTGAACACGAAATTTTATCATTGATGTTGGAAACAGATGTTAAAAAAAATCTTAACTCAAGGTCCACTTACTAGCTTTTTCCAGAGATTTCATCATGCTAAGAAAGAATGTGAGATGTGGAATGAAGACCGGTCTTCAACAGTGGAGCTTTGACACAGAGGTGTAAGCTAAATCAGGCTTTGAATGCACAGACGATACTTGTTAGAACCCTTGGGTCAATTTATTGTTGGATGTCATGGAATTTGTTTACAGTAAGAGGAAAAGTTGGGTCTCAGGGACATTTTCTGACATATTTTTAATCTGGTGTTGTATGAAATCATGAGGAGGGTGGGGGGTTGTATGAACTTTTAAAAATAGTTTTTTTTCATAAGGGGGCGTTGTTTTACAAATACAAAACAATGCATATATGAATTGAATTACTGAAAAGGAAAAGTTGTATCACAAAATAATTTCAACCCAGCTTAATGTTTTTTGCGAGCTTTCAACCACTTCTGATGGTCTTCATCAGGAGATGGAGATGGTTCAGTTATCATTGTATTAGACGCCATACACCATTGGTGACTAGAGATAAGGTTTAACAACCCCTCCTCCACATATGACCAGCTGTACTCAAGTCATATGACTTAGAGTCAAGTCAGACTTGAGTCGCAAATTTTGATGACTTTGGACTTAACCTGATAAAATCAAAAAAGGCTTGCAACTCGACTTGGACTTAAACACTAATGATTGGTGACTTTACTTGGACTTGAGCCTTTTGACTTGGAAACTTGAAACCTTTCCCCCAAGATAATTCAGGAAGAGAAGATACAGACATTTTTACAATATGAGATGGGTTTAATACAAGAAGATAGAGCAGAAATGAGAACTTTATTATGTTGTGGTCCCATTTAATAGCACTATATACTATAAAAGTGCAAAGCTAGCACCACTTTTTTGTGTTTAAGGTCAGTTGCAGTTGTTTTAACAAATTTTCAAAGGCATTCTTGATGTTTGTAAATGTAAAATGTTTTTATTTGTTGTTAAAATGACATTGCATTTGGTGAAGAGCGTATTATGACATATTTAAGACTCAAAACTCAAAGTTTTAGACTTGGGAGTTACTTAGGACTTGTCAGTCTTGACTTGGGACTTGACACAGGACTTAAGTGCAAAGACTTGAAACTTAATTGCGACTTTCAAAACAATGACTTGGTCCCACCTCTGCCTCCTGGTATCACAATAAGGATAGTGAAGACCATGAGATGTGATTAATAGCTCTCACAAAAGCCAGCAAGAGAAACAAGTGGATTAGATTTTCTAAATTACAGGCCAGAACTTAAACTTACCATACTCATATCCTTTTCCTTTACCCTGGGGTAGTTCAGTATTAACAAGGAAGAAGTCTTTTGATTCTTGTCCAAATCAGTGAAGGTACACTCTTGTACAACTTCTCTACATAATGAAAGAGCTAATCGAAGGGAAGAGAGCCCACCCAGGGATATTTTCTATATATTTCCAGGTTCATATCAGTTGAAATTGCGATAATTTAAGTACAATTTGGTGGAGAAGCTCAAGTATCTTATGAATTCACAGTGTCAGTCTTGTATTCACTGTTAGTTTCCGGGCACCTGCATGTATAGAAGCAATCACAAGTTAAGACTTCAATCTGTGGTCTGTCTTAATGAGAGGTTTCTGTTCGCATCTTAATTGAAACGTCCAAAACAAACAGTGTTTTTCTGAATCAAAAGCAATTGAAGTTGGCACGCTCATACACACATCAATGAACAGCATTTCTGGCACCACTGATATTTACTTCTCATAATTCAAATCACCTACAGCAATCTCTAGTGCCCTACTGCTAATTGAAAGCCTGGAATTCAAGAGAAAAAAAATTGCTGCACAGCTTCATACATCTTTAAGTACATCCCAAATCTGTCTTGAGCGTTTTCATTAAGGCTGAGATTTAATGAGTTTAATTTATTCCTTGCTAATGATAGAGAAGGACACTGCATCTTGTGTTGTGTTAATTAAAACTCTATGAAATGGTGTAGATGAAATAGTTTCGCTCAGTGCAGGATCCTTCTGGGGGAAGATCGTTTTCAAGTTAATATGCGTAAGTAGTTTGATTAAGGGGTTTTCCAGGAATTAAAATCAAAACAAAATACGACATCCATATATATAGAACCATATAATGAAATAGAGGATCACTGCTTGGGTGACACTCAGGGGAGCTGGAGGGTTGAGACAGTTCGAGGTGAAATACAGTACAGGCCAAAAGTTTGGACACACCTTCTCATTCAATGCGTTTTCTTTATTTTCATGACTATTTACATTGTAGATTCTCACTGAAGGCATCAAAACTATGAATGAACACATGTGGAGTTATGTACTTAACAAAAAAAGGTGAAATAACTGAAAACATGTTTTATATTCTAGTTTCTTCAAAATAGCCACCCTTTGCTCTGATTACTGCTTTGCACACTCTTGGCATTCTCTCCATGAGCTTCAAGAGGTAGTCACCTGAAATGGTTTTCCAACAGTCTTGAAGGAGTTCCCAGAGGTGTTTAGCACTTGTTGGCCCCTCTGCCTTCACTCTGCGGTCCAGCTCACCCCAAACCATCTAGATTGGGTTCAGGTCCGGTGACTGTGGAGGCCAGGTCATCTGCCGCAGCACTCCATCACTCTCCTTCTTGGTCAAATAGCCCTTACACAGCCTGGAGGTGTGTTTGGGGTCATTGTCCTGTTGAAAAATAAATGATCGTCCAACTAAACGCAAACCAGATGGGATGGCATGTCGCTGCAGGATGCTGTGGTAGCCATGCTGGTTCAGTGTGCCTTCAATTTTGAATAAATCCCCAACAGTGTCACCAGCAAAACACCCCCACACCATCACACCTCCTCCTCCATGCTTCACAGTGGGAACCAGGCATGTGGAATCCATCCGTTCACCTTTTCTGCGTCTCACAAAGACACGGCGGTTGGAACCAAAGATCTCAAATTTGGACTCATCAGACCAAAGCACAGATTTCCACTGGTTTAATGTCCATTCCTTGTGTTTCTTGGCCCAAACAAATCTCTTCTGCTTGTTGCCTCTCCTTAGCAGTGGTTTCCTAGCAGCTATTTGACCATGAAGGCCTGATTGGCGCAGTCTCCTCTTAACAGTTGTTCTAGAGATGGGTCTGCTGCTAGAACTCTGTGTGGCATTCATCTGGTCTCTGATCTGAGCTGCTGTTAACTTGCGATTTCTGAGGCTGGTGACTCGGATGAACTTATCCTCAGAAGCAGAGGTGACTCTTGGTCTTCCTTTCCTGGGTCGGTCCTCATGTGTGCCAGTTTCGTTGTAGCGCTTGATGGTTTTTGCGACTCCACTTGGGGACACATTTAAAGTTTTTGCAATTTTCCGGACTGACTGACCTTCATTTCTTAAAGTAATGATGGCCACTCGTTTTTCTTTAGTTAGCTGATTGGTTCTTGCCATAATATGAATTTTAACAGTTGTCCAATAGGGCTGTCGGCTGTGTATTAACCTGACTTCTGCACAACACAACTGATGTCCCAACCCCATTGATAAAGCAAGAAATTCCACTAATTAACCCTGATAAGGCACACCTGTGAAGTGGAAACCATTTCAGGTGACTACCTCTTGAAGCTCATGGAGAGAATGCCAAGAGTGTGCAAAGCAGTAATCAGAGCAAAGGGAGGCTATTTTGAAGAAACTAGAATATAAAACATGTTTTCAGTTATTTCACCTTTTTTTGTTAAGTACATAACTCCACATGTGTTCATTCATAGTTTTGATGCCTTCAGTGAGAATCTATAATGTAAATAGTCATGAAAATAAAGAAAACGCATTGAATGAGAAGGTGTGTCCAAACTTTTGGCCTGTACTGTATGTCTTTCAGAGGACACAGGATTCACAGAACCAGGGAGACACAGAAAACTAATTTTGATTCATGTGGAGCAACTGACTGGCTTTGAGAGAAGTTGCAGAAGCAAGAGCTCAGAGGTAGCCAGAACATTTTAAGATGTGCTGTTTTAACACATGTGGGGGAATGCAGTTTGTTCAAAGG